TGGACAAATGTTGAGCTACTGGCGCCATTTATTGATGAAACGAACTAAAACGTAATTTCCTTAAAGGCAAAAGAAAGATTTTTTTGAATGTGAAACTCCTCTAGAAAATCTAATTTACCAATAGAAGATAAGTTTTGAATAATTTTGGCTGGAGAAAATTGAGAATTGCGAGTATGATTTTCGGACCAACAATACTGGGCAACAGAGGACTTCTGTGTTTCCTTTTTTCTAACAGATGCCTCATGTTCCTTAACACGAAATTTTAAGGCTCTCTTAGTTTGACCAACCACTGGCAAGGAATCCTGTAAATACCTCAAGAATTCATATCTGGAATGGCGTCCTTGAGTATGGAACTCGGAATTTTATTGTTAGGAGAATAAACGACCCGAAAGTTAAATTTCTGTAAAATACGGACATTTTCATAGCTAACTGATGGAAAGAAAGGAATGACAACAGAATTCTTATATTCTTCTAAAACAAGAGTGTGCCATTTGTTGCGTTGAGATGAGAATTTTGTAACTGCTTGATTAATAATGGTGGGTGAAGCGCCCCTGTCAATAGCTACTGTTTTTAAATAATTTAGTTCTTGATCAAGAGCCAATATGGAAGAGCAAACTTGAAGTGCACGGAAAACATAGAAATAAAATGAAGCTAAACTTTGTTTGCTTTTGATGACATGATTCGAAGTGTGGTGGAAGTAAAGTTCCAGTGGAGGGTGCATTGAGATATCTAGAAACCAGACCTCGTGAATTTCATTTCTCTTGCATCGAAATTGATGAGCTAATTTCCCTCCCTCAGCTCTGTTTGAAACAAACTCATTTTGTTTTCCAAAATAAGTGTTACTGAGAGATTAGCCATAGGAAACCCCCTCAGTCCCATCCTGACTGATATCTACATGCATTATTATGAGTCAAAATTATTTAAAACTTTAAACTTCCCGATATGGTTCCGCTACGTAGGCGATACTTTTCCCCTGTTTGACGGTAATAAAGATGATTTAAACAAAGTTCTTCCAACAATGAGTTCCATTAATCCTGCTATTCAGTTTACAATTCTCTTCCGTTCTGCCACATTTTGGTCACACGTAGCGCATCCAGCTTCAGTACTACGGTTTACCTTAAACCTTCATCGGTTTTCTTTCCACCACACTTCAAATCACGTCATACGACTAAACAAAAGTTAGTTTCGTTTTATTATTCCTATGTTTTCCGTGCACTTCAAGTCTGCTTCTCCAAATTGGCTCTTGATCAAGAACTGAATCATTTAAAAGTAGTAGTTATTGACAGGGTCTTTTCATCCAACATTATTAATCAAGCAGTTAAAAAATTCTCATCTCAACACAACAAAAGACACACTCTTGTCTTAGGAGATTATAAGAATTCTCTTGTCATTTCTTTTTTCCATCAATAAGCTATAAATTTGCACATATTTTACAGAAATTTAACATTCGGGTCATTTATTCTCCTAGCAATAAAATTCCGAGTTCCATTCTGAAGGATATCATTCTGGATATGAATTCCTAGGGTATTCACAGGATTCGTTGCTAGTGTGGTTTAATTTACATTGGTCAAACTAATACAGCCTTAAAATTTCGCGTTAACGAACATGAGACATATGTTAGAGAAAAGGAAACACAGAAGCCCTCTGCTGCCCAACACTTTTCGTCCGAAAGTCTCACTTTCAATTTTTCTGCGGCCAAAGTTATTCAAAAAAACATCTTCTATTGGTGAATTAGATTTTCTCGAGGCGTTTGACATTCAAAAAAATCGTTCTGTTCTTGTTAACATCCCTAATTTAAATCCGTTTTTGCCTTCAGCCTTAAGGAAGTTATGTTTTAGTTCTCGTTTCTTCAATAGATGGCCCCAGTAGCTTAACATTTGTCCAACCATTCTTATCATATCTAATCACTGCATCTTACTTCGTTCATTTGCGCTTTGGCATCTGAGGGTGAAGGTTCGGTAAAACTATCGAAACTAGTCCTATAAAAATTTGAAAATATAGCGCTGATTTTTGTTGTTTGACTTCTAATTTAAAGAACTTACTACTAAAGTAATGAACACTAGCAGTTGAGCTGAGGTTCAAATCCAATGAATAAATAATAATAAAATAAGCATATTACGTTTTACCAAACAATAAGCATATTGCATGTTTCAAAAGGGACTCTTCTTTTATTGATCCAGCCCAAATTAAAATAAGCTCTAATAAAATAAAATCTGAAAGCTTTCAGATTTTATATTAGCCCAAGCGGGCGTTTTTTTTATTCATTTACATACATATACATCTTTCGAGATCATTTGGGCTAAACACATTCAAAAACAGCATATCTTTAGAATTTCTGATGAAGAGTCTCGCATGGTGGCGATAAAAATGTTTTACTCTCCACAGTGTTGCCACTGCTCGCTTTGAAACTGTTGAGTTTTTTAACCAAAAATTCGTCAAAGTTTACCAAAATATGAAATAGCTAATAAAGCAAATTCGAATTCCGTCTTCCAGGTGTCCATATTAAGGTGGAGGAAAATGTTATTTAAAATTTGATGGCTTTACTTACTATTGCTTTTTCACAATGCGAGAAATATATTTATTTAATATATATAATAATCAAACATATATTTAATATCTTTAAATATAATACAGGACAATATATTTGGTGGCAGCAATTTGAAAAGTGATTCAATGATTTTAGTTATTAGACGCAAAATGCCGTTTCGAGACTAACAGCCTTTCTGAGCTAACGCCCCTTTGGAGTGACGTATTCGAAATTCAAAATTCAGGCTACGAGGTGCATATGTTTGGATGGAGAGCTATGTCTTTTCAAAATTTCATGGCTCTTTGTGCCGAAGTTTCTGCACAGTGCGAGGGAAATACAGACTTGCATTCATATAGTACAGGTTCTTCTTTCTTCAGTAACAGAGACATGTAATAGCGAATAGATAAGTATAGTGAATAGATAAAAAGTAGGTTGTCAGTCCTAAAATAAAAAATTAACTTCTATCTTAACTTCAGTTCATCAGTATCGGAATGGATTAGATCGCTGAATATTCTTGTTCCCCCGGGTTAAGATCCTAACAAACAGGCTGACTATATGAAAGGTTTCGTGATTTTCCGATGCATACCATTATACACTCCTTTACGTTTACTTGAAAAGTTAAGGAATTCTGAATTTTCCAGAAATCCTGTTTTGAACTCGGTTTTAGTGAATTTATGTCGGAAAGTTTTTTACACATTACCAGCAAGAAATACGAACAATTAGCGTAAGTCATGATGCGAATAAATTCAGGGAAATTTAATAATGTGAATGAACTAATTGTTGCTTAATTATTAATCGCTCGAAAGATTCCTTTAAAATTTACAAAGTATTTGATATTTCGTTCAAAATTTCAGAAGCAACATGCATCTAATTACGATAGCAAATGTTATTTCCATTAAAATAAATCTTAGTGGTTTAGTGTGGAGTATTATTCATTAAACGGTGGGATTTAACTTCGTGACTTTGAAGACAAAGTAGGAAAACTGCATGGTTGATTTCTTTCTGCCATAAAATCAACTGCATGGAAACGTTTTCTATCGCAGCTTCCACATGGCTTCATGTGTACATTAGATCAAACATAATGGGTTGCATAGCTGAGATTTATTTCCGTATGTCAAAGTGCTATTATTCCAGGTGAAGAAATTTAGTCGTTAGATTTAGCGTTATGTTTTCGAAGATAATATAAATATAATACGCAACATATTTTGTTTAAATCAAAACTAAATTTTCACTGCGTTCTTGTATGAATCACATTTAAATTCCCTCCCTAATCCTATACAATGTTTAGTAACGTCTCACTTTATATTCTGTTTTATCTGACATATCATAGAAATTTAATTCCTACTCATTGTTGTTATTAATATTATTAATTTTATAACTATACCATTGAGCTTCATTTAAGATATTGTGTGTGTACAGCTCTTAATTGAATCGTAGATTCTAAGACCAGCAAATATGATGACTCATAGAAAAAAAATCATAGAAATGCATACATACAGCCATAAACGATTCTACACTTGCAGTAATTATCTGAAATTTCGCTGTAAATTTCATTTTTGACAAAATCCCCAGAGGAAGAAGGAAAATGGAGTAATCAGGACTTCTTGCGGGGAATCTTGTTGAAAGAAGTTCCGTAATTCTGCTTGATTTGAAGAAACAAAGAGATCAACAGCATTTTCAAGGATATATGAAATTTAATATTAGTTTTAAGAGAAAAAGGGGCCATAAATCTTATTACTTATTAGGCTCCATCAGACACCTACTTCAAAAAAATTTTGAGTGTATTCAGGATTCATATATTAGGATTTTTAGCGCCCCAAATTTGACAATTGTACCGATTTACATAATCATTTCCAAAGAACGTGGTCACATCCTAGAAAAGAACATTAGAACAAATTTTGGTTTTTCATTTTCTGTAACATATTAAAAATGTAAGTATAATTTTTATTCTGCGTTCGGTTCAATATATAACAACGAGGTAGGGATGTTACCTTAGTCTGTAGCGTAAGACGTATGATGGAAGATCGAAGTGTTGACTATATAGCAAGAAATGGAGTTCTGAGGATTATGTACAATTAGAATTGTCTAGTATTGAAATTTATCACTGATGCCGCTTCATGTAACCTAGGAAAATACATGTACATAAACGTTTTGAATGACTGAATTAAATTAAAGCACTCCATTCCATTTCACATTTTATGTACATCACCAAGATCTCTTGAAATTCTGCTGCTCATTTTAGGAGACATTATGTACAATTCACAAAAAGCCTTTTCATTCAAAGTTGAGATAGTGAATTATTTTCTTTTCTCTTTTAAACGTAAAAGGACATTTATATGGAATACGCCCGTGAATACAGTAAAATTCAAGCTATTCCCGTTTTTGTAGATTTTATTCGTGCATAATTCAGTTAATTTTTATCGACAGATTTTTATTTTATTTTTCAAAACTTACATATGATAAAAGAAAATTCTTTTAAATTTGAATAGTAATGGAGATTTCTTTATTAAAAATTTTCAACCATTTATCATACAAATAAAGGGAAAAAAAAACTAAAGCTGTTATACGTATTATGTAGCTGTTATGTTTTCTTGCTCTTCCACTTTTTTTTGTGGCTAAAAGCTTCTTCATTTGAACAGCTTGATATTTCGTTAGATTTGAAGTACAGATTATATTATAGCAACATTTAGATGTATTATATCTTTATTTGAAACAATAACTTACAAAGCAAACTTTTCATTAGTTAGATAAAAGAAATCATATGTTATATTATTTTACATAAGTTGTGAAACAAGAACCATATGGAGTCGAATGAATTGCATAAACTCCTGAAATATTTTATATTCTGAATTTATGAAGTTTTCCTAAAGAAACATATAAAATATGCGTCAAAATACTTGAAAGATGTTTACTAAAATTTTAGATAATAAATGCTTATGAACATACGTTTATATGTGACTAGCTCACTGAGTTACATTAGTAGATGTACTAATTGTAATTGTACTAATGTCACTGAATGACTCTAGTACGTCTCTAAACTATGGCAGTTTTACTGTGATAAGATTTATAGTATCTTTCTTATGCATTACAGTTTTACTCTCTTGCATCTGGTACATTCACAATCTAGTAATGTTGCTTGCACTGTAAATTTTTTAGTTATATCCAATATCTCTCTGATCCAACCTGGTTATATCCAAACTCTGATATTTTTGATGGATGTTGATTTTTAAAGAAATATATTACATGGATTTGTTAGTTAAGAGTGACTAGTCACTCGAGACGGGAAACGTAAAATACTATTGTACATCTGCGGAAAATTTTCTGAGGAAATCAGGGTTACATAAGGGAAAAATGGATGCCTTTCAGAACTGTTCCCCTTCAGAAAGATGGCACAATTTGTGAATATGTTCATCATTATCATCGAACTGTTTTCGAATCTTATCTTCGGTCTTATTTTCATAATCGATCAATATTTTCCAAGGCTGAAACATTCACAACCATGCCTAGGCGTAAAGGTACACTTTCATGAACATCAGTTTTTAATTTTATAAAGCAACCTTTATGAAGTCCCGTTAGCCTGGCTCTCTGTAAGTAGAACCTGAATTTGCAATTCTGATTAAAAAAGGAAACAAAAATTCGACTTGCACGGTGATGTCGCTTTGTAATATTGCTGGGAACTTCATGAAAGTTAATTTTTTAAAGTTAAAACTGACTTTCATAAAGATTCTAGCAATTTTGTGCCTGACCATCATTATGAAGAATTCTATCTCTGTCTGAAGTAAAATATGCGATCTGCATTTAAAGGCATCATTACATACAAAATGCGACGCATCTTTGTGAAATGTGATCCAGGGAAAACCACGCTGTCAGGCTGTTCCACCAAGCTGTCCCAAATCAAAGCCATGATGGAATAAAATTTAATAACTCAACAATTAATTGGAATTTAATTTTGTGAAAATTCCATGCATTAGCCTTCTTTTCTTTTGATGTCGTAAATAATAATATTTTTTTTAAATGTTTGGCAATGTAAATAAAATGTATCACAGACATGATGCTATTCTCACCGCAAAGCTACTGTATTTATTCCGTGTTTGGAACTGGTCTCAGAAACCTTACTGGCTGTGTAGTGGTATAGTTACCAGTCCCGGTGTTGTTTGCAGAACTCGGATAGCGGATATTCTTTTCTGGTCGAAAGATAACGATGTAAATTTTAGGCAAAAATAAGCAAGCCAAAGTCACAGTGCCACTTATGCTGACGCTCATGCATAATATTGTTGATTGAACCTGGAAAAAAGACAAAGAAATAAATAAAAAATAGTTTTTATTGTAAATAAGTAGTGAAAGGAATTTACACTTTTGAGAAACGTGGTCAATAACAAAATTATAAAAATATTCGTAATTTTAATATAGTTTTCATGGGAAGAAGTCTTCCTGGCAGATCCTAGGTCAAACGTTCAATAAATACCGTATTTCCTGGCATAAATTCACTCATAAAAATATGTGTTTTATAAGAAGTTTAAAGCCATTAATCATGGGATTATGATTCCGTACCGCTTCAACGATGTTCAGTTGTCAATATAGATGTATTTTTTCTCCGGAATAGCATATTCCGGAGAAAAAAAGTTAAAGCATTAAATATGTGAAATGTTCAGTGACATTTACGTCATTATTTGATGATTTATTTATATCTTTACATTTTATTAGCCCAAAAGGGCTATTAGTCTTCAAACACGAATTTGAGTTGTTTCACTTTATAAGGATTTTTAAGTTTACTAACGTTTATTTTAAAACTTTACTGTCTCCTCTTGTTTCCCACTTCCAATCAGAACAAACGCGGTTAGTTTTATTATGCAAATTTAGCTTGGTTGTGGCTTTTAGTCAAGAAGAGAGAGAGAGAGACTTCTCGCCACTTTACTTCACGCGTGCTTTGTCCGCCTTTAAGGCCAGAAATTTAGTCCTCTTGATACCCTGAAAGACGTATTGTAGTTTTATCGCATTTTGCGTACTACATACGTAAAGATTTAAAGGCCAATCTTAGCGTTACTAATCTTTGTAAAGTATTTGAGTTTAGCTCTTATTTAAATTTAGTTAGTTTGTAAATCTTATTTTTACGTTCAGACCACAAGTGCTGGTCTCTATCTCGAAGTGCGGAACGGCTTTAAACTGTGCAGAATAAGTTAAAGAATTAAACCCTTCTCTTCTTTGTCATATCTTCTACAATTTTAAAGGATGTAGTTTAAAGTAAACTCACTGTTCTACTCAGGACACTCACATGTTCTCCAAAGCGATTAGACGAAGTAGTAGTCCTGATAACTGTAAAGCGTTGTTTCACTTTTCATTCGAGTTTGTTGCCATTCCGAAAAACGTAAGATACTATTCTTTTATATTTAATCTGTCTATTATTAATGAACAAACTAAATTATTAAAAAAATAGACGTAGTTACGTATATTATTTTTTTGCTTTTTAATCTGATTGATTTAAATAAAATTGTACTTAATTCAAGATTATATTTAATTAAAACTATTAAACATTTTTATGGAATTACACTACATATGTTTTCGCTTTTTAAATATGCAGAACATATATAACGTTCCCATGTTGGTCTAAATGCATAGTCATCTAATATCCTATAAAATGTTTCGCTATTCTACCCGGGCCATCTCTATTGATAATCTGTACCGATAAATCATATTAAACTTTAAAACATTAAAAAAGCTGTTGGGGCTATTGTTAAAACATGAACCCTTTCAAAAATTTATTTAAAATTTTAAATTATTTTTTATTTAATGTTGTACTTATTTGTTTTTATTCACGATTCATTATACGAATTTTTTAAGGTTTCCAACAATTCAGAAATAGTTAATGGCAATAAGCTTAATTAATGGTATAATTATTTTACATTCCATTTCAGTCCTATATTCCCGCGCAGATACAAAAGATGTGGTCAAAAATTATTAAAATTATAATTTTCTGTTGATGTTCCTGTTATCATCGATGTTGAATATTAAATAAGAATTGCATGACATATACATTAATTACAAGCTAATTTTGTTTTCTCGAAATTTTAGCAAAAATCTTTTATTGTGGTTTATATATACTATATCATTTAATTAAATGCAGATATTCTTATAAGGGAAATTTGGTATATTGCTTAACTTATTTAGTAGATTGTATTTAAAACAGAAATGAGCGTTGTAGTATTTAAATGAAATTTTTATCTAAGACGTCTTAGAATATTTTAAAGGACGGCTGAAATAAAGTGTCATCATGTTGCATATACGCTTCAAAACAGGGGATTATTATTATAAGATCGAAGGGGGGGAAACTGAATTATTAGATATAAACCCTGAAGTGTAAAAAGTTTCAGAATAATTTTTTAACGTTAATTTTTAAGACCACTAATAATTTTAAGTTAACAAGATACAAATACAGGATGTTTCATAGATCATGGGACAAACTTGAAGGGGTGGTGGAGCGTACATGCTTTTTTTATACGAATGTAGGGTCTAAAGTGACGGATTAAAGCAGGAACAAACAAAAAAAAAGTGCTTCTTTGTAGCAATACAGTATTCACAATAAATGTTCAAAATTGCGACCACCAGCAGTAATACATGCTTGGTAACGTCTCAGAAGGGATTGACAAACATTTTAAAAAACGACAGGCATTTCGCGCACGCTTGCAACCGCAATGTATAGTCGTGCAACGAGGTGCTCCAGTGAGTCAACGGGAGTCTCGTAAATGATGCTCTTCAGATGCCCCATAAAAATTTCCAAGCTGGATAAATCTGGGGAATGGGGTGGCCATCGAACAGGTCCACCACGGCCAATCCATCGGCCCGGAAATGTCCATCCAAGTTATTGCGGACCCGCATGTGGTTATTTGGGCGGGTGCACCATCATGCTGTAACCACATGCGATCACGAACGACAGACGGAACATCCTGCAGTAATTCCGGTAGCACAGCACCTCTTGCAGAAAAATATAATATAAGCCATTTGTACGTGCCGATAAGAGGTATGGGCCTATGAGGTAGTCGTTAACAATACTCTCCCATACATTCACGGAGAAGCGGGTTTGGAATGCATGTGGACGTGTGCCGTGTGGATTATGAGTTGCCCACACGTGCATGTTGTGGCTATTGAAAATGCCGTCCTGTGAGAAAGTTGCCTCGTCCGTGAATAGCACATCCGATGGGAAATCCGCCTGCGCCGCACACTGCTGCAAGAACCAATGACAGAAATGAACTCGAAGAGTGTAATCTGTCTCTTGCAAGGCTTGGACTCTGCAAATGGTATGGGTGCAAACCATTTTCATGCAATACTCTCCAAACGGTGGAATGACTCAGTTGCAGACGACGTGCAATAGCTCTTGTACTTGTCTGAGGTGATTTATGCACAATGTTCAAGATGGATTCTTCAATGCGAGGTTGTCGTGCACTTCTTCCACTCCTAGTGTAAGAGGTGGCTTCAAATGACCCGTTTACACAGAGAGACCGATGCAACCTCTCGGACATTCTGTGCTTCGGCATACGCCTGTTCGGAAACCGTTCCTGGTACAACCGTAGCGCTGCTCTGCCGTTCCCATTAGCAGCACCATACATGAGATGCATGTCAGCGTTTTTCCTGTGCGTAAACGCACCCATCACGCTCGACATCAGAGTTGCGAATGATCCTCTGATGCATCGGATCGTGGCTTGTACGGCTCACTAACGCAGCATTGCCAGCCAATCACAGCTGCAGTTCCTATTACTGTTAGTGTTCTCTTTTTTGAACATTTATTGTGAATACTGTATTGCTGCAAAGAAGCACTTTACGTTGATTTTGTACATAAACACATTTTCCTCTCGTGTCGTTTTTTTGCGTTCCTGCCTTAACCTGTCACTTTAGACCCTACATTCCTATACAAAAAAATGCATGTTTTAGTACGCTCCATCCCCTCCAAGTTTGTCCCATGATCTATGAAACATCCTGTACACCGCTTTTTACATAGTAACAATTTAACAGTTGGATAACTTACGGCATATTCTTACTTATTATTATACCAAAACGGCTAAATTCCACGTAAAAGATATGGTAATGTTAATGGTTTAATATAATTTGACTTCACTATTGCAACTTAATGTACAGTTTTACTGCTTTCCTGAGAATAAATAGAATCGAATAGTTTTTGTCATATTAAAATTTGTCTAGTGACATTAAATCTGGTTAATGGAACATATTTCATTAACGAGATTTGATATTAATACGTAGCATCGCACTAATATATAAAATTTGTCTAGTGACATTAAATCTGGTTAATGGAACATATTTCATTAACGAGATTTGATATTAATACGTAGCATCGCACTAATATATAAAATTTGTCTAGTGACATTAAATCTGGTTAATGGAACATATTTCATTAACGAGATTTGATATTAATACGTAGCATCGCACTAATATATAAGTTGTAACTGTCCGCGAAGCCAGGTGAATTTGTTTGACGGTTTCGGTGTCTTAAGCTGAGACTTTGCTCGTGCCGACAGCTATGGGTCGAAATTAGAAGCGTGACATGAGAGACCTCAGTGGCTTCGGGTACAGAACTCAAGCGAGTGAAATTCTCTACCACTAGCGCAAAAAAGCTGAGGTGCGCTAGATTCAAGAATTCTGACTCTTTCAAATTTGTGAGCTTTGCCCGACTGCGCGTACTTCGCATACCACTCCCAGCAACTGTACACGAATGAAGAGGGACGACTTGTTCCCTTGTTTTGAGCCCATTGCGTTGATGTGATTGATCGTTGCATTAATGGGCTTTTCAGTTCCGTTCGTTTGGCATGGCTAGATGGGCCCTTTGAGCTTTTGGGGAGTGACGCTCGGTGGGTTGGCGCGAGGGACGTAGTACGTCAGTTTTTTCCCCAGGTGGGCGGGTGGAGAAGGTGTGTGTTCCTGTCACGTCGAAGGGGCACCACTGTGACAGTCCGCGGAGCTAGCTATGCTCGCTCGCAGTTGTTCGACGCTTTGGGTATTTTAATCTGACGCTTTGCTCTTGGCGACATCTATGGGTCGAAATGAGAAGCGTGATGCTAGAGAACTCTCTGGCTTCGGGTATAGAACTTGAGTTGGTTTTATGCGAGCGGAATTCTCTACTTCTAGTGCAAAAGAGCTTCTATGCACTAGATTCAAGAATTTCGACTCTTTCAAATTTGCGAAGAGCTGCTACGACGACGCTGCAAAACCATACTGATATTAATACTTAGTATAATTTAATAAGTAAAGAATGAAGTACTTGCCTTGTAGTCCTGCCATGTGCTGCAATATATTGGTACGAAAGCCAACCATACTATGCAAGAAGAATACATAGTAAAACTAATGTATTTTGACTCATTGAAGTTTTCTGGAATGTTTCTGGTTTTGTAAGCAATACTGTACACAGAATAATGAGAACCATATTATATGATAATCCTAGAATAACAGATATTCCATCGTAATTGCACACCACAACCCACGCACGTGGATTTTCCAGTAGCATTTGTCTCATGGAAGGTGGTTTAATGATGAGCCATAAGACTGTCAAAGTCACTTGAATGAGGATTAAACATAGGCAGATAACAATTTGAGATTCAGGACTTATATAGGATGGACGTCTTGTAATCCTTAGATTACGATTGAAGATTCTAGATATTCGATTGGTCTTTGTGAAGATGGCCGAATAGCAAACCGCCAAGCCAAGTCCCATACCAATGCGTAGCATGCCACAGCTAACCTGAAATGCCATATTAAGAAACGAAATGTAATAATTTAAAAACAATGAACAAAATAAGAATGAAATAAAAACGCAAAAAATAAAATAAAATGAAAAGATAAATAATGATCCAGCATTGTTGATTTTCATGGTTTTCCGTAACGTGAATACAACCCATTTTTCCTTAGAAAGTCCCTCACGAAGGCGTCCTTCTTCTTAGACAAATAGCCCTAGTTTGCTTTGCCGTATTAAAATAACCTAACTGAAATATCCAAGTTACTTTTATGATTCATAAGTATGAATACATTTCTTAAATTCGGTTATTAATTATTATCTGTTTACTGCTGCAACTTCTTAGTTTATGTAGTAGAAAACATTAGCAGACAAAAGATGTCTTTTTAATGGAAAACTTATATTGCTATTTCTGTGCAGAAAACACACTATACAAAAGAAGACGGGCTCAAAACTATAGTGTCGAAGTAAAATAGTGATATAAATCGCAAACATTATTGTTTACAACATCCTTGCAAAAACTCTTTCTGTTGCAAGTTGTAAAACTTTGCAACAGAAGAGTTGAAAATCTTGCAGCATAAGAGAGCCTTGTTAGGCAACACTAAAGTATCGTGGAACGTCTTCTTGCATAACTAAATTACACAAATAACTCCCATTATGTGCTGACCAATAAATAATGGTCTCAGATTTATTACCAATTTAACACAGATGCATCTTGCAGTTACATCTCTGAAGCATACCTCTTACACGCTTTGAACTTACGCTTACATGCTTTGAACAAATTACCTTCTGTGGCAAGCCTTGATGCAGTTCTAAAACTTTGTTACCCGATTTTCTGCTTCTAACTGTTTGAGAAATCATCATTCGGTATAAGAGTTTTCGATTGAAAACATACATTCTGAATGCTGTGTAAATATGAATATTGAAACTACAGTGAAATCTATAATGGTAACTGCTTTCTGTAGACAAGAAACTCTGAAACTGACTATTAATTTTGAGAGCTTAAATAAAATTCGGTACTGCACATACCAATATTAATGTTTTGTAAAGAAATCGCGTCCATAGAAGACTAAAATCTGTGGAGGTGTATGCGGTCATCTTTAGTAGAATCACTGAATAAAGGTTTATACTATCTTAGATGTTAATAATTGTAGAAATGTTGATTGTACAAAATGTTGATCTATTATGAAGAGAAAACTGGGCAGGAGGCAGGTTAAGTATTCTTCTTTATTTTAAAAAACAGGTTGCAGCCCAAAACAACTTAGTAGACTACTCTTGCCAATTTCGAAACGTTTACATTTTTGATAGCTTTGCAATAAGAAGACAGCAGTAAAAGCAGCAATCTTACTAGGCCAAAGCGTAAGAAACAAGTAAGTTGTTTTCAGGATGAGTTAGTTTCGGTTCTCGATGGATTTTATTGGACAACTGGAGCACTATGAAAGAATCGTTAAAACTGAATGTGTTCCACATATGACCTGTAGTGATACAAAGGAACGATTGAATTTACAATGTATCAAACCCATATTTTACACTCCAGATATGTATCTGATGAAGAGCGACTGCTGGTCGTAGGCCTGACTGCTGGTTTTGAATATCGCTGTTTGAGAAATATTTATTAACAATATTAATATCTCTATTTGAAGAATATTTGAGAAATATCGTATCTGAGGAAGAGCATTTCGTATTTCTTCTATCCAGATCCAAAGCTGATTCGTCTTAGCTGAGAAAAGAGTGCTATGAGTGAGTTTTCTGTGGACGAAATCATAGACATATTCGACAGGACAGGACTATGTGAATGGCCAAAAGAAGAAGCGGTATCTGTCATTCTAAGAAGATTTATTACATTTTTAGCAGTAAGTAGACGAACATTGCTTTGCTAAAATACAAGTGTTAAGAATACACTGAATGAAGGGAACGACTTCTGAATCCACAACCTCGTTGAAGTAATGGTTGCTGATGATAGTATCTTCAATTCTTAGCAGACGATATTGCCCGTCATATCCAATGCTCGTCATATATGCTACCCCAGCTCATCACGCTTGGTGATTGTTCAGCATAACTTTGCATAACGCAATCCGGAAGATGAAGGTTTACCCCTATAGCTCCTAATGTGTATTCAGCGGCCGAGCGGTTAAGTCGCTGAACACTGGTAGTTCGGTCTGAGGTTCGAATCCCGCGAACGGGCTGGTGTATGGGTGTTTTCGTGGTTTTCCCGATGTGTAACGTGTATACGAGCCAGTTTCCCTTAGAAAGTTCTCCCCGAAGGCATCCCCCCTTAGGCAGATAGCCCTCGAAGCTTTGCCGTAATTAAAATAACCTAACCTAACCTAACCTAACCTAACCTAATGTGTATTCAAACATCTCTATATTGACACAGTATTTCATCTGAAAGACGATTCGCTGCCAATCGTGGTGCCAAGACTACGTTGATGAGCCCACCGCAGCTGCAGGCATCGATGCTTTTTAGGCAATCTTTCATAAAAAATGCATGCATGCAAATACACTGCGCAGCAGATGCCGGCGAGTTATTGGAGCTGACAATAGCATTACATGTAACAGTGTTTACATGTTGTACTTGCTGTCGAGATGAAGATGCAAGGTCTGACACTGTCATGCGGATAAGATATTATTCATGACGTGCTTACCTAACATTTCGTGGTCCCTTTTCCAAGTTTACGGCTTATCCAGTATTTTTGAGCCATTTTAGTCCACATTCTCATCAGTGGTGAGGCACTACGCACCGTAGGAGATAGATTTCTAGAAAGGAATATCCTTTTTCTCGCACGCCGATCATTGGTTGCTGTTCAAATGATATAATTTGCTGATACGGGGCTTTTGTTGATGACAAGACTTCTCATGACGTTTATCGCTGATAAATGATGAAACACTACTTTTAGCCTTTCGCTACAGTCCTTTGTTTACGTGGCAACATGACACGTTATCAGGGGGAATTGCTCACCTTTCCGCATGCGTAGTTATTCTGAAATTCTAATCCCTTATATATCGTAATTAGTTTTATATTTTTGAGGAGTTTCAATTGATTAGTGTGATACCTTTATGGCGTTTCAGTTATCATATACGGAAACGTATAATTTAATATTTTTTAAGTAGACGAAATGCATAAAGAGTTACAGCACAGAAAATCAGAAAAATCTATGACTGTTCTAATGCATTGCTTTGATATAAGAATTCATACAAAATGCACAATTATTTACTTTGATTTAAAAATAAAAATATAAATATAAAATTAGTTTCTAACTGTAGTGAAATTCAACTGAGCTTCAACCTGACGGATAACCACGGAATTATCTGAATTGCTTGGCAAGCTATCTTCTTTTACAATTGTTTAACAGTCGACACAAACACTAATTCAAATTTAAAATCAAATAAACATTTGTTAGTTCCATTCTGATGGGCTACAAGGTAATATAGTAATAAAAACTAAAGCGGTTGTTTATCGATACATAATATGGTAATAAAAACTGAAGCGGTTGTTTACACGAGCTAACCGTGAAGCAACCAAAGTGAATAAGAAAAGAGTCTTTAACATGCAAGAAGTTAAATGATTGTTAAGAAAGACACAGGAACTGTCTGTTTTGTACTAGCTGAAACTAGCTGAAAACGCATATAAGATTTAATAAATAGATTAAAAATATATTTTTTCAAAATAATTAACACATTAATAGAGTTCATAGAAGTTGAGATATTTTTGAAGTTTGTCGAAATATACAAGTGAAATCAATAATTGTCTTTAACTACTTACTTCTGTTGGTTGTGAAAGTACTACGAAAGTGAAGCAATAACAAAATGTAATCCCAATCAGGATAATATAACAAAGTTCTCTTCCTGATGCCATTATAATTGGAGTCTTGTGATATATTAAGAAGATGGCAAATACCGCAGACGTGCATAGGATACCAAACAATGAAAAGACGAATGGCACTAAAGCCCACGGGCTGTTGAGGTTTCGACCAATGTATTCCGGCTTTAGTTCTATACAAGAAGTCTTATCTCTATTCGGTATTTGACCTGAAAGGAAACAATATATCAAATTTTCTTATTTTCAAGGTGTACAAAAGAAATTAATTGAAATAATTTCGATTATATTTACCATTGATACAAAAGCCGAAATTTAATGAATGTTTCTTTTGATCTGGGACTTGCGAAGAAAAATTTTATTTTGCGCGAAATATGATTAAATGATGGTTTATTTACATATGCGTAGGTATTTAGTCTAATATAGTCTATTCAGGTGCCGCCCAGAATATCGCGTAAATCGCGACGCGTCTGGCTCAGTAAAATACTTTGGCACTTCACATAGAAAGTTCATCAGGTACGTTCCCAGTGATCTGAGATGATGGGAAGGAAAAGTCCGATGAAAGTCCAAGGAGAATTCATCTGTAGGATTATTAGTATTATTTTTATTAACTAGTTATTTTATGTTTTGGATCTTTATTGTCACTTCTCGTTTTCGTGTCTGTACCGGAATGTAAATGATATAGAAAGAGATAGTATTTAAAGAATTTCGGGAGTTTAACTCAGAGCGTGTTCTGCCTCTCGGGGCCACGTTGCTAGGTTAGTTAGCTCAGATAAGATTGTGTTATTCTGCTTTGGATTATAGATACCGATATTTGAACTGTTACGCTGTTAATGTTAAATTCTTTATGTTACCCTAGGCTACTACATTTAATTTCAATATGCAATTTGAATTTACTATTTCTTTAAGTTACTTTGCCACAGGTGATTAGCACGAGTGGTTTGTAAGCACGCATTCATGTTTAAAGTTCTGATTTAACAAAATATTTATTTAAGCTTTCTCAAGTTTTTATCGTTAACTTCAGGCATAGGGATAATTTGCTCCCAGTCTGTTAGGAGCTTGGACGTAGTTTATGCTACCACAGCAAGCCAAACTTTAAACATCTTACAAAAAAGTGGAAAATTCAACTCCAACAATCATGTCAACAATAAGCAGCAGAAGCATTTCCTCAGTGATTTTAATCTGCTAACGTTTTTCAGCAGTTTGTACGAGTTTGCTGAATAAATTATTTATTCTTTCATCCACATTAAAATTGATCTCCGAAATGTTTGGAGTAGTAGTCCGTGCTTGATAGGGCGAGTAATGCGCTTGTGCAGCGACATTTTCGTCAGATACTGGGTTGTTACGATTATCTGCATAATTATCAGGAAGTTTCTTTAGTCTCCGAGGAAGCTTTCTTTCATCTTTCTTAGGCAGGAATTTTGGGGTAAAATTCATGTTTTGTCAATGAGGCCACGTGATCCAGTTTACGGTGATACAAGTATTTAATTTAGTGGCAAAACGGTAATGAACCAAACTATTAATTCTGCTCCTCAGAGCAGAATTTCATTGCTTTTGATGAAGAAGAATCTATAACTGTTCGTTATCGAAATAGACAGAGCTTTAATTAAAATCTATACTAAGCACAGTATTGCTGTTTTGTCTAATTTTATGTTTTACTTTGGGGTATTCTTCTTTCCTCTTGTGAGGTTATATGATGTTTAAAAGATTATTAACATGCCTTGGATTAATGCCATACTTTAAGATGAAAATGAAAATTTAAAGCTAAAGTTTTTCCAAACTCTTTCAAATAACATGAAACGACATTGATTATTGTAAATGTTGTTGTTATGACTGGACATTTGAAAGTATTTTGATGGATAAAACCTCGAACACACCACCAACGAAAATATTGCTGTACCCTTCACACAATCAACATTAAAGCCGAGGAACAGATCCAGGAATCTTCATCCCTTTTCCTCTACCGTCAAACCTCTTGTGAGACCTTTCGTCCGTCCAAACGGGATAGTGTTTAGTGTCGCTGATTACCAACCGAAGGGACGGGTTTGATTTCCGAAGAAGACATGGACAAAGAATATGAATTATGTTTTTAAGCGCATAGTGGCTGTGAGGTCAAGGGCACTCAATATACACAGTAAGCCGAAATCCCCTGGAGAGGTTGTTGGTAGGGGAAAGGTGTAGGGACACTCTGGCAGTCCCCGAGGTGTTCTCTCTCAGAATTTTGACCGGCGCGAAAGCTTAGCAGTTAGCAAGCTCGACAATAACTAATATGTCCTAGATGGATGCATAAATGCCGGCCTTGTTTCAGTCTACACCTGTAAGGATTATTTTATAAGCTGAACAGAGCACATGTAAAGACTATTTACAAACAATCAAACCTTCTCCGGGATTCGGACTCGAGCCCAAAGATACAACAGTCAGCAACGCTAACCACTATCCCGATCAATGTGGCACTATTATTGGAAGCTTTTTGTACCTCCAACTGTAGCTATATTGAAACTTGAGCGAATAATAGTGTTATAAATAAACTTTGAATGGCTAATTCTGCAATGGTGAAACCAACCGCCCTTTTCGGTATGGTTAGCGAGATAGCTATCATGTCATTGCGCCCGGGTTTGAATCCTTGGAAATGTCCAAATGTTTATAGCTGTGTTTCTTCTTTTCTAGCTGGTGTAATATCGGCCTACTTTTCTGTAAGACACTGAGCAACATTTTTGGTGATAAGACGGCTGAATGATTGATGGATTTGACTCTTGCCTACCATTGATTGAAGAGCAAATATCTGGCCTTCTGAGAGAGGAAAGCAAATAAACATTTTCTGAAATAACATTTCATTATTTTAAATATTTATCATCTTAGAGAGAAAGGAATTGAAAGACATATTTTAAGCATCAAAAGTGTAGTCATATGATATGAAAATTCTGAAAAGCAAACTTTTAGATTCAAAGTCATCAAAGAAACTGCATCATTTCAGAATGATACGAAACTAAACTCTAAGAAGTAGACAAGAATTCCTTTTTAAATGCTTTGCAAAAGGAAATAGAAAAGGAAATAGAAAGGAATAGAAGGAAATAGAGTGATTCGATATTATTATAATAAACAAATGTATCTCAGGTAAATAAAATCTAGGATATATTTCTTGAAAGCAAGTTCATTTTCTACTTTTAAAAAATGAAAATTTTGAAAGCCGATATTGACAAAGAAAACAAGTTCGCACCGATTTTCGCAAACAGCTTTATAAGTAGCCCTTGAGATGCTGTTTACCAAGACGAAGAAAGGAGAATAAGTATTTAGTATGATAAAATCTACTTCCCATAAAGCTAAAAAATGTAGCAAAATTTCAAGAATGATAGTCGGTAACAAGGAAATAGCAGAAGCAACGTACAGCGCGGGGGAAAAAAAAAGGGGGGGGGACAGTTTTATATCTCCCGTTCTACTGGGCCGATTGACAAAATTCAAATTGCGTTTTTCATGTTTCGAAAGTGCGACTTAGGATATATATTAGATTTATATATAGCACTATTCTAAAATAGGTATTTTGACACAAAATCGGACTTTTTCTGAAATAACATACCATTTTTTCTACATGTTTCGAATTCTACGACTCAAATTATGCCAGACTGCCAAGTTTGTAAAAATTGTAAGTTTTGTGAGCGGTTTCTAGTGGGTGTATGTGAAGTTCTGTGAATGAACTCGCTAATCATACTATAGAAATGATCCTATGAATTGGGTGTATGTGTCGACACACAAATATTTACTAGAAATTGTTTACAATTGAAAACTTGCACACATACACTCGACGATGGCACTGTCTTGGGTCTTGGCATGTGTTTGATTTCCCTTTCACAGGAGCCAAAACGTGTGACAGTTGCATAACGAAAGATTATCTAAAAAAATTATATTCGCAGAAAGTAGCGTAAAAAATTATGGGAGAGCAGAAAATCCCTCAAACCGTATAGAATTAAATTTTAGTAGCACATGTTTGCAAAAGTATCAAATTTTGCGAAAAATAGCATGATCTGGCAACACTGTTTGCAATATATACTATTAGCTTTAAAAACCTTTCGTTTGGTGAAAGATGGAGATGACATTTTCCCAGTAAAATGAGTTTTTATAACTGAGCATTACTTCGCAACGCATGCATTTGATTGTAATGCCATATTTATCATATTCGTTATTAGTGATTGCAGAATTTTATTTCTGATTTCACCCATTTTATCTCAATTCAGAATAGACTGTAGGCATTTTTTATGAAGAATCCTTCAAGTTCTTAAAATAAGGTTGTCAAACGGGAACTCATTCTCTTGTTAGGCTCACGAACATTTAGGACGGTGTCTTTAAGCACTTTAAAAATTTTCCCGTAAGAATGCGTTGCGAAGTTATAAAATGCGTCAGTTATAAAAAATAATTCTGCTTGGGAAAAACTCATCTTCAACTGGCTCCAAACAAATCGTTTTCAAAGCTAACAAGAATAAACTGTAACTGAAATTTCATGTGTTATATTACTTGTAACGGTATAGCCATTGAAACTATAGGACATTTATATTTAAAATTAACATACGTTTTGAAATTTTGAAGTGCGCGACTTTTGGATCATCCTGTATATATTATACACACTATACATTATGAGCCAGATTGAGTATTTATTATCTGAATTAGAGAGAGAGAGAGAAATTTATAAAAAAATTAAAATGGAAATGCAGATTATTAAAAACGTATATTACTTTTAAATCGCTTTACTAATTACGAAATATACAATTTTATCTTAAAAGGTACTGAAAATCATATGTCACGTCACACAGTAACACTGCTGAGAAGTTGCAATTCGTTAAGCCGCGTGGGGCATAAATTAAAAATGATATCTGAAGCAAGGGCATCTGTTACATTACATTGATGATAAATACTCTGGTGGTTTAATCTAATTAACGCATTCCGTGCATATAGTTATGCGAAGAACTAGAAGATTAATTTATAGAAATTTCTGATTTCAGTACTTAAATTTCATGTAGCCTTATAATTTAAAATTTTACACCTGTTTAGTTAAAAATTCATTTTGAAAATTAGAAGTGGTTATGATATTTTTCAGATTTTCTCTTTTCGTACTGTGTTCAAAGAGGCTGTTAAATAATAAAAAAAATATCTTTTCTTTCAAGAGCGAAGTATATTACACTTTGGGTTAAAAATTAGATATAAACTATGCAGAATTTATTTTGAATTTTGAAAGAAGAGTATTTCACTTAAAAATAATTATAAAAATTACAGTCTTCCCAGGTTCCTTTCATTGCTTTCTGAAAAGAAATCTGTTTCAAAGAAAGAACCCTTTAAAGTAAAAGAGTTTTAAAATTTAAACGGATTTTCCCTCATTAATGTGTGATTTCACATAGCATAGTCTACTCGTAGAATATGTTTTGCTTGGTAAGAGTTTTAGAATTTTATGTTTCAAGGTTTAAAATATGTACGAATCAATAGCTATTCTTTTATTAATAACCTTCATAGCTGTAAAAGTTTCCCTAAATGTTTATAATATCTCAGAATTCATCAGTGTTTTACAGAGATTAGATTACATTAGCTTTCTTTAACAACGTTAGAAGTATCTGTCATGCTCAAGGCATTTTGAAAAGAACTAACTCTTGTATGCCATATACCAGTATATCAGGATAGTCGTGAAATACCAAAGTACCATTTTATCAAGAATCGCACATGAGATGAAACGATTAGTGGGTTGTGATAACGAAATAGTGGCTTCATTTATTGGTTCATTACATAAAATTAGGTAAAGCAACAGCCGCGTTTTGGGCGTAAATTTTAATTAAAGCTAATTTACTTTTGAGTTTTTATTAAAATCTACACTAAACACAAAGTTGTTGCTTTGCCTAATTTTATGTTTTATTTTGGCGTGTTTCCTTTCTCTGTTGGTTCCTTATTTTACAGAAAGAACTGAATTTTGCCCCGAGAGTAGGAGAGGAGAATTCTTAGAAGAACATATTAAAAAGAAATTCTAATATTATTTCACTAAAAAACAACAGGGCCAACCTGTATAAATTACCGCATTTATAGGTATTTGTGTCATTATTTTGTTTAAAAAATTTACGAGGAAGTCCTTTAGAAGGACACACTGAGAAGCAATTCTAAAAAAATGCTTGATAGACAAAAACAGGCCAACTAAGTTACCTCATTTATAGATATTTGTGTCACTATTTTGCTTAAAAAATATAGCATTATTTCTTTAGAAAATAATAAAATCAGACTAAAGATATACTTTTATGCCTGATTGCATTACCTTGTGGACATTCTGTACAATGGCCATAAGGATCAGGAAGAAAGTACTCTGCCTCGCATGGCCGGCAGGTCCAGCAGCAGCGTCTGTGAAGATGCAAACTACGTATCCTTTCCTCTCCGAGCTCGCATTGTTCACTACAACTGGACACTGGCTTACCTAATTCATCCACATAGTCTTTCCAATTCCACACTGGAGCGGATCGCATTCGTAATCTGAGCGAAAGAGGCATTAAGACAACATTTAATTTTATCACGAATTAGATCTTGATGTTTTATATACCGACTGTGCAAAATGTTCTGAACTGGATTGATAAAAAATAGAGAAAACTTAAGCTGAAGGCTTAGTGCTTCATTTTTTCTAAATAGTCTCTCCTTACTTAAGTACAAAACACAAAAAGCTCTTACAATCATATGAAACTGTCAGAAAAATCTTTGTTTGGGATGTTTTTCAACTTGCGTGTCACAGTGTCTTGAATTTTGGCTACGTCATGATAATGTTGACTCTTCATGCGAAGTTTGAGTTTCAGGAATAAAAGAAATCACTCGACACCAAGTCGGGTGAATATGGAGATTCGCTGAGAACTGACGCACGTTTTTTTTTGCTAGAAAATGCACCACAACTTCAGCCATGTGAGCTGGCGCATTGCCGTGCAACAAAAAAAAAAAAAAAAAAAAAAAAAAAAAAAAAAAAAAAATTCCTTTCTTTCCATCGTTCCGGATGAGACCCCTGAATCCTCTCGCACAACCAATCCATGACACCACACATTAGTCCCAGGTTTTTCCCAGTTTTGTTTATATACTAGGAACAAAAATCTAACCCGGAACTTTTCGGACAGACGGTATATGTTTTCATACCGTTTAAAAAATACGAGAATTTTCAAGTAATAATGTATACACGATTTTGGAAATTTTAGATTCTAATCTATCAAAGTGATTTGAAACCCTTATTCAGAGAAAACTACTTTGTTAATTACTACATAGATATCTTTCGTAAGTAGAAGAATGGATTATTTCTGAAATTTAAAAGCACGGACTGTAAAGTATTATATGATAGGTAAGAGGACATTCCCGAATTTATCAACTTCTTAGTCCGATTTGCTTTGTCAAAATGATAAGTTAAAACGATAATCTAGTAATTGCTATACTTTTCCGAGCATACCTTTCTTTGAGAAAAGAGAACACGCCAAATAAAGCTAAAATTTCTCTTTTATGTCGATATGAGATTCGCGTCTTTGATGGCAATAAAGATATTTTTATCACTAGTTATCTCATTTAAGAATTCTGTATATTCTGCCATCCAGTCCACTTTTGAATTTGAAAGGATTTTCCTTCACCTTTTTCTGCTCTCACATTCTTCTTTCTTGAGCTTTTTAATCAGATGCAATAGTTCTAGTTTTGATGCCATAAACTATCGGGATATCGTAAACGTTGTTAAATTTTCCACTACTACTGCTAAATCTATTATTCCACTGCATAAAAATAGTCTTTTTCTACTCTTTCTGTTTTTTTTTCGTCCTCTGAAGGTTTGCTAAGTCAGTTCTTGATAAAGAACTCAGTTACTTGAACGCGACTGCAATTCATGCTTCTTGTCCCAGATTACTGAGCAAGTAGTTCAAACGATTTTCCTGTTCTAAGAAAACTTGTACAAACATTAGGTCTTTTTTTGAAGCAGGAGACGTGAAAAATTTTCAGTGCCTTTGCCAGGACCTCTCGAATACTCGTCGAGTATGCTTCCAATTACACAACGAAGGCAGGCGGAAAGGACGGAGAAACTACCTTACACGTCTTATATTTGAAGAAATGGAAAAATAAATCATCCTCTGAATAACATTTTTGGTCTTCAAACCATAAATTTAGTTCAGCTTCTTCTAATATCATCCAAAACACTAATCAAATTACCAACTTCATTTGGTGAATTAGATTTTTTTGAGACTTTCTGTTATTTCTATATCAGGGAATAATATAAATTTTAAGACATGTTTTGCATCACACATTCATATCTGTTTTTAATTTAATCGCATTTTACTCGCCTGGGTGGCATCATTTGCGTTTTCTGTTGCTGTTTCTCTCTTCCTTTATAGTAGAGGGGCCGTAGTTTGTCTACTACCAATCTACGTTTGCTTACAAAAAGAGATCCGCTGATCACAACAGATGTAAACGGCTGACATTGGCACGGTTGGTAAATGCTGTAAATTTGTTTTAGCTTTGTCTAACACACTGATTGCTGTAACTTTGCTTAGATTTACTGAAGATTTAACCCAATAAGTATACTGTAGCTTTTGAAGACAAATACTTTAATTTGTGCCGTATTATTTCAAGTTACAGCGGTAAAGAAATAAAGTTTACTTTTACATATTGTATATCTTGTGTGAACAATCAGAACTAAGCAAAAACGTTAACTCGCTGATATATAAAGGTAACTTCTAAGGATAGGAGGAAGGAGATATTTCTAAGGATAGGATATTTAACTACTTTATTATCAACTTATAGTTAAATATCCTTAGTCGTAACTAATGTGATTGCTTTTGAGTAAAGAAACTTTTCAGGTGCTTAAAAGATTTTGCTTTGTTTAGTTAAATTCACCAGTTAATTTGCCAGTTAATTAGCAGAATTCTATTTACGACAATGTAGAACCTTGTAGAGGCATTGTTATTTCGAAGCAGGACACATGAAAAATGAACAATGCCCTCGCCGGAACTCGAACTTCGGACCTCTCGAATATGCGCCGAGCATGTTGACCATTACACCAGGAAGGCATGCTAAGAAGGCGGGAGAAATACCTTATGACCTCAAATAGTCGACGTTTATAGATTTAAGAAAGGCTGTCATTTTTGAAGAAGGAGAAAATATTAATAGTGATGAGTTAGGAAATACATTTTTATTCAATCCAAATTCTAAAGATGCTGCTACTTAAACAGCTGTGATAAAGAAGCTTTAGCCAATAGATTAAACAATTTCCTTACTTCGTGTAAGGGTTCCATTCTCCAATAGCTTTGTATTCGTAAATGTCTCCAATTTTATAAGCCTTTTTAAACTGGTAGATAGTGTAATTTACGGGAATACTTCTTGTAGAATCAAAACTAATAATCATATCATGATCTTGCGAGCCTGAAATATAAAGGAAGGCGTATTCAAATTTTAGACTAAGCACAGTATATTCACATTATAATCACAACACGCAGAAAACTTTTGTATAAATTTATATAAAAAATATAAGATTAAAATAAGTACACTTTATGAAAAATGCAGTAAAAAGGTAATTGAAGATTTATGCAAATTTTTTACCAAAAATGTGCATTTATACACAGTAAAGAGGAGAGGACATCGAACTAAATTTTTACCAAAGTCATTCGCATATGCAATGAAAACATAGGGAAGATTTAAGTAAATTACTATCAAATATATACGTTTTTGTATCGTAAAATACGGGGAATATCTACGTAAATTTCTGTCAAATATATACGTTTATATACAGTAAAAAGTCGGGAAGATTTGCGTATATTTTTACTAAATATATACGTATACGTGAAACAAAAAATTGAAGAAATTTATGTACATGCGATAAATATATGTACATTTTTACTAAAAATATTAATACGTAAATAATACGTAAATTTCAGGAATTTACGTATATTATACCGCAATCTTTCGCATAAATATACCTAAATTTTACTTAAAACTTACGTATATTATAACGTAAAAATATACGTAAATATCTACTATTTTTTCTTGGACACTTTTAATGATATATTTACGTTCAACTTGAACGTTTTTTATACGAAGGACCATTTGTAAATTTCACGTATTTTCTCGTGCAATTTACGAATGCATGCTGCCTGGATTACATGCTGCCTGTCGCATTTCGGATTTTTCCAGTTCAAGCTTTCTGAAGGTGTCAATACATATCGTGCCATTTCAGACATTTTCCTTCCTTCTGTAGATGTTCTGGCTGAAAACATCAAAAATCATAAAATTTCAGTCTTTCTAGTTTTATCGTTTCTTTATAGTTAGAAAGACATTGCAAAGGTAAGAGCAGATGTTCAAAGAAATAAACTGGTCTAAATAAGGCATGCTTTGTCATTTCATTTAAGACTTGGTTTGTCTCATTTTAGGCTTTCCTAATTGAAGCTTTCTTACAAATCGCGCCATTTCAGATACTCTTGATAGGGTGAATGAGAACAATTCTCATTTCAGCCTTTCCATTTAGGGTCAATGCAAAATCTGAGCGACTGAAAGTCACGTGAACGTGATGCATGCACAAAGCAATGTCGCAGTGACTCTTTGTCCTTTAAACTTTAGAAATTGCTTAAATGAAACGTTAATGGCATTGGTAATTATACCTAATACAGAAAATTAGATGTTTTTAAAATTTGAGTGCGATATAGTATTACTATTTTCTCGAAAAACATAGTAGTACTAAGTTTTGAAAATTGAGACAATGAAAGCAAAAAGTCGCTTTGAAACACAAAAATAAAAACTTTTGAGAGTTTGTCTAGCATGAGATCTGCAACAATCTTATCTCTTAAATTTCTGAAAAACTGAAATCAGCTTTTGCATGAAATGCTCGCTTTTCCTCGACAGATAAAATTAAAACAGAGCGCGGTCTGAAATAAACACGTGTTTTCTTTAGCCCAGCTTGTTTTTTGTGAACACCTGCTCTTCCCTTTCCAGTGTCTTCCCACTAACTATAATGAAACTTCAGGAATAGAAAGGCTGAAATGGAAGCTTTTTTTGCTGTTCTCATCCCGAACACCTGCCAAAGGAAGCCTGAAATGGCACTGTACTTGTTACTATGTTCAGAAAGCATGTATCGTTAAAGCCCGAAATGGGATATCTAGATTTTAGATTTAGACTCTATAATTGACCGAGCTATTGCGAAGAGCAATGTTGCCGGTTCCAGAATTAAAGCCCAAGGGCACTTGACATAAAGAAATCTGGACGTGGAGAAAATCTCAGATGAGAAAACGGAGAAAAGGGGAAGAAGAGAAGTACCAAAAAGAGCAAGACAATCCAATCGGACAAGTTTGCAAAACGTGACGAGAGATCATTGCTTTCAAGAAGGACCCAAGACAATGTAAATCAATGACAACAATATGAGAAGATACACTACAGCAATAGTTCCAATGAGAAATTCAAATACAATTAAACAACCTCAATCAATAGTGCTAAATACAACACAATACAGAACAACTATACAACACAATTTAAATACAACAATCAGCGCAATACACTACAGCAACTCAACAACAACCTAAGCAACCTATTTACAACACCACTATATCATCACAATGCGAAAAATCTCACAGCATTAGTTTTATCAATCTCCAAGAATAATATTCAAGCTACAGAAGAGCTTCAATCAAAATCAGATGCATTGGAAGTATAACCAATTGAGGAGCTAAGTGAAAAAGTTGTCGTCTCCTCTCATGAAGGTGTGAGCTGCAAGTGGTCTGACTCTTCTATTTTCGAAAAGAATTTCATAATTAAAGACTTGGGAGTAATTAACAAAGTCACATTGCACAGCTTTGTTGAAGAATTTTTCATTAGATCTTCTGATGTAATCTGGAATCGTCTCAAGTTTTAAGTCTCTGTGTAAAAGTTTATTGCGGATAAGATAGTGTGAATCAGTAATAATGCGCAGAAATTTGTTTTGCACTACTTGTAATTGATGCAGTTGAGTTTGAGTGACCGTGTTCCAAGCAGGAGCAGCATAACAAAGTATCGGTCGAATGCAAGTGGTATATATATGTTTTTTTGGTACTCAAAATAAGATTTGAATATTTTCCAATAACCTGAAGAAATCTGCATATTATGTCTATGGCTTTGCTTTTGACACTATTAATGTGATTAGACCATGTGAGCCTTTTGTTCAAAATAATTCCTAAGTATTTGGCCTTTGTGACCAGAGGAACAGTTCCTGAAAAAGGTAGTGATCTTTAAAAGCAATGTTTTTCTTAGTTTTGCTAAGAATTAAAAGTTGTGACTTGCTTTAGATATAGTACTGGATGTAGAAAAGATATACTACTGGACCGAGAATACTTCCTTGTGGGACGCTGGATCTTATAGGTCTTGAATTGGATTTTTCATCTCCTTGAGTGACGAAGAAAGTGCGGTTCTGCAAAAAGGAGAAGATCAGAAGAATGAGTTTTCTAGGAAGTCCCAAGTTGATAAGCTTGAAGACGAGCCCCTCATGCCAGACGTGGTCAAAGGCTTTCACCACGTCCAGCATAAGGAGCGCAACACTTTGCTTGTTATGGAATGCAGATTCCACAAATTCTACAATTCTTACTAGTTGTCGAGTAGTACTGAGGTTTTTTCTGAATCCGTACTGATCATAAGTTAGCAGGTGAAGAAAAGTTTCCTGAGAATAAGTCTTTCATAAATTTTACCAAGGCTGGATAACAAACTGATTGGACGATAGCCATCAGGCTTGGTCACATCTTTACCCGGTTTGGGAAGAAGAAAGATCTTGGCTTGCTTCCAAGGATCAGGGAAATAGTTGAGAGTAAGACAAGCGTTGAGAATACTAGCGAATTTACTGATAAGTTTTCTAGGTAAGTTACGAAGCATTTTATTAGTAATTTGATCACTTCCAGGAGCTTTTTTGATGTTGAGATATCTAATAATATTAGTAATTTCCATAGGAGAAGTAAGCCTTGGGATGTTATGAGCCGAAGAAGAATGAAGCCAGGAATACACATAGTTTTCCAGAACATCTTTAAAGGTCTGATTCATGGGCTCCATATTAGGAGTAAACTGCTTTTCCAGGTATTCAGCGAAAATATCAACTTTAAGTGAGTAGGCAATTTTAGTATCCGTATGAATAGGTCTATTGTTAATACTACTTCTTTTAAGATTTTGAAGATACTTCCACAAAGAACCATCATTAATATTAAGTTTAGATATAAAATCTTCTCTTGTTTCCTTTTTAAAATCAGTGATAAGCTTCTTGATTCTTCTATTAAAAATATTGATTTCTCTTTTAAGGGCAGGGTCCCAGTTACGGTGCCAAAGCTTCAGCAATCGGTTTCTTTCTTTGATAATGTCTCTGATACTGCGAGGGAGTCGAATATTATTGTTAGTTAATTGAATGGTAACTGTAGCATCTCTGAAAGCTTTCAGTATACTGTCAGTGAAGATTTGAATGGCAAGATCGATATCCTGTTTGGTAGAAAGTGAAGTGTTATTAAGATATTGTGAAAAGTAATCCAGTCAGTATTATTTCTGGTAATAGGAGGGTCTTTAGAAACACCAAGAGAAGCAATGACAGGTACATGATCAGATGTAAGTTCTGCCTTGACTTCCAAGGAAATAGGGATAGAAGTATTTGTAAGGATAATATCCAAGATGTCCGAGAGATTTGGAGAGGCAGGACGATAAGTGGCTTCAGAAGGTACATGTAATGCGACAGGATGATTGCAGATAAAATTATGCATAATACGTCCATTGGTGTTAGAACGACGACATCCCCATTCGAGGTGCTTAGCATTCATGTCTCCGGCAATAATAACTTGCTGATCTTCAGGAAGTAAGTTTTTTAACATATTTTCAGAAAGTCGATTTCGTGGTGGATTATAAATAGCCGTAAAATGGATGGTACCAAATTGTGGGAGTATAACAGCAACAGTCACACTTTCGAATCCAGAAGCAGAGTTTGACAAGACAGGATTGCAGAGAGTTTTTAACAAAAATTGCAGCTCCTCCTCTTCTTTGTGAAAGTCTATCACCTCTGTAGGTGCGATAATTAGCAATATACAGTCTATCGGCAGGAACAACATGTGTTTCAGAGATCATGCCAATATCTATGTTATATTCTATAAAAAAGTCCGAAAGTTCATCAATTTTGTTAACAATGCCAGCAGCATTCCAATAGCAAAGTTTAAGCGAATCTGACTTATTGAATATGCTGGTCAGAATTAGTTTCATCTGATACTGTATTAGTGGCATTTTGACGGATGTTTTGCGCAAGGAGTTGTATTCCTGAGTTTTTCAGGAAGGTGACTAGAGTATTAAGGTCATCAAATATCTTTTTTGCTTCTGCAATAAGATTTGGAGAAGGATTGTTATTAGTTTTGATGGCTTCAGCAAAAGACTTATTGATAATAAACCTATCAGCATATGATTTGATTTGTTTTATTTAGCTTGCTTCGGGAACTTTTCACAACCTTTAAATGAAGCTGTGTGGTCTAGACCACAATTTGCACATTTAGAAGGTGCATTCTTGTCTTTCTGACAGGTTCTTGAGTCATGGTTATCACCACATTTAACACTTCTAAAGTTATTGTGGCAAGCAGCTTGTGAATGGTGAAATCCTTGACATCGGAAGCACTGGACTGGACTGGGCCAGAGCGTCCTTTATATGGTTCGACTTTGATATGTAATCCACAAATTTTGGTTTCTTTAGAAATTTCTTTAGATTTTTCATTTTTCTGCAGAGTGATAAGAAAAAGTGGAAATTTTTTAACTTCTCCTTTAAATCTACGAGAGAGTTGATTGACACTTATAACTTGGTAATTTTTGCTTAAAAGTTCTTCTTTGATTTCATCAGGATCTGTGTCCATTGTAAGATGACGGAAGACCACTTTATGATTCTTCTCATCAGGCAAGAGAAAGGAGTGCTATTTAATTTCCTTTTTTTTCAGAATACTTGTTATTTCTCTATGAATGTTGACATGAGAGACTTTAATTTTAAAGCCTTCTTTTTGAATTTAACCTGTGTAATAAGATTTGTCTGATAATTTATGTTCTGCAAATAACGCTTTTAGTTCTTTCCAATTAATTTTTTTATCATTTATATAAATAGCAGGTGGCGCTTTGCCTTTTTTGTTTTGATCGTTTTGTATTTCTTCATTTATCTGAGATTCATTTGGAACAACAGAACTAGTGTCCATTGATTCTTGACTATTAATGGAAGGAGTAACAACTGGTTTGAGCTGAGAAGGATTAATGGGACGAAAATGACCCTTTTTCCTTTTACCCACACTACGATCTCCTTTGGGTTTTTGTTCAGTTTCGTTACCTGAACTATCCGTTTCTTGTTCGAAAGGAATTTCATTTGAATTGTCTTTATTTGGCTTATTAGGTGAGCCTTTCATACGTTTTCTTTTGAAAATTTTCCATTCACTTTCTGTAGGTGTAGAAGGAGTTTCTTCTTGATGTTCTAATGACTCTTCAATTTCTTTGTGAGCAGTAGTTAAGGCATCATACATTTTTTTGAAGTAGATCAAATTCTTTGTCTTCTTTGATATAAAGATTTCCATTTTGTTTCTTAATTCTCAGCTCCTCAATGGTAGCCGCAAAAACTTTCAAAAATGGTTCTATCATTCATAAGCAAATTAATGGAGTCCGGCCCTCCGGAACCAGACCCACACGAAGGTCATGGCTTAGATTTAATTTTATTTGCCAAGGAAAAGCGAACTAGTTTCATGCAAATGGCTGAAACTGAATTTCTAGAAACTTCAAAAGCTAAGATTGCTGGCCAAACCCTAAAAAAGTTTTTATTTTGTGTTTCAGTGGGATTTTTTGCTTTCGATATTTTAGTTTCCAAGATTTAGGAATTGTGTTTAAAGAAAATAATAATATTATATCCAACTCAAATTTTAAAAACATTTTGCTTCTTCTATCAGATATAAATCCATTATTAAACATTATACCAAATAGATATAATGTTTTATTTAAGCAGTCCCTAAAGTTTAAAGGGCGAAGAGTCATAGTGACGTCACTCTGTACATACATCACAGTCACGTGACTTTCTGTCCTCAGATTTTGCGTTGACTCTGAACGAAAAGGAAATATTTCTTACTCATCCCATCAACAGATGCTGAAATGACACGATTTTTAAAAAAGCCTCAACTGGGAAAGCCTGAAATAACCCTTTACTTTTATACAGGTTTACTCATATAACCGATTCTGTTAGCCAATAAAATTTAATTTTGGTATATCTTCCTAAATATATTTGCCAATGTAATTATTAACACAAATTTAAATGCAAATTGTATATCATCCATTTATTTTTATCCTTACCCTAACACTTATTTTTGTAATTTTCTTATTTTACAAATCTTTATTGCATTAAAAATTTTGATCTTTTTTTCATGTTTGCTTGGATAATTATATAGCAAAAAAATATAAATTCTGATAATGTATTTTTAACTATATCTGCCCTTTCATTTAATACCAGCACATACTATATTGTTTCAAAATCACATTGTTAGATCATTTATCATGTTCAAAAATTCAATTTCATGAAAGTCTTAGTCTTTAATTCAGTTTTTAAAGGAATGAATCTGTGGAAATAAACGATTGGGACTGTCAAGTAAGAAAATTGATCACTCAGAAAAGTTTTAGGAAAATATATCCATTATCTACATCAAAAATGGATCCAAGTACCACTGAGAATGTTAGAACCATTCCTTTAAGTGATACTTTCGGATAATTTTTAAGCATCACTGATGTGAATATGAACCTCTACTTTTAGTTTTCAAAATTTATTTTATTTGCGAAGCAAAAAGTTCTGGTTAAATTCTCGAAAGATCACATATTTTTCTTTCAAAATGCATGAAAAGAATTTGAAGTATATGTGCTGTCTGTTAACTTTTTATGATTGTAACACTGTAATTTATTTCTTGAGTTTAAATGAAATGTAGAAGGATTAGATTAGATTGTTTGATTACGGCAAAATCACACCAGAGCTACCTCTTAAGGCAAGGGGTGCCTTCCTAGCGGATTTCCGAAGTGGATTTGTCTGCATTCACATTAAACATAGGGGAAATTTCTGAAAACGCTCTTATAATCAGCCAACTCGGAAAAATTCGGAGCCGATTTAATTATCAGTGTTCAGTGGTCTTATGCTTTCGTCCACTGGTGGATGAAGCCTTAAAAATGTCATCAGTTGTAAAAATGTAATTACGAAATTCTGAGAAAGAGTAGAAGAATGTAAGAATGCTGTTTTTATAGCCAAGATCACTCTCACATGAATGGCATTTCTATCTGTGCGGCGCTCTAAAACCACACTGACAGAAAATGAAACACCGAGAAGGAGTTGTTCTAGATAAACATAATTTGAAATGCGTATTTGAAAATCTAGAGGAATGGCGTCTATTCAGATTTCACGCTACACAAATAATTACGGCGTCAGTAAGCTCACTATAGCATGCAAATCACGTTTACTTTAAACGCGAGGTGTAAACTTGTAAGGATCTTAAGTTTTACTAACGTTTATTTTTTATTTTAAATCTTTACTATCACTTCTTATTTTCTACTTCCGGCCAGAATTAAAAGCTTTAACTTATTTATGCAAATTTGTCTGGCGAACGCCAAGTACTTAAGTTGTGGCTTTTTGCCAAGCGAGAGAGAGGAAGGTGTTAGTCGAAGCAGGCCGCTTGCCTTAGCAGTTTTACTCGGTTGCTGGTTGCCTTCCAGGCCAGAGGTTTAATCCTCTTGATAATTTTAAACGTATTGTAGTGTTAACAGTTCTCTGTACTACATACGGCTTCCTGTTAATATACGGCCAATCTTCCAACGTAGGCCCTTGTTTATTATTCCAAATTTAAGTTAGAGTTTAGTTAATATTTTTATATTCTTACGTTCAGACCACAAGTAGTAGGTCTCTGTATTCCGAAGTACGGAAATTATTGTAAAGAGTGAAAAATAAAGGGTTTCGTATACCCTTCCTGTGTATCTTGTCTACTTCCCACATTTATTGGACACAGCTTTAGTAAGCTCCCTGTTCCGAGTCAGGGTCTTTGCATGTTCCCAAAGCAAGTAAGGCGGAACATTGAACCTGATAAACTTCGTGTGCTTTATTTATCTTCCAGACTGGGCATTGTGAGCGAGATTTGAGTGTGGAATGAATTTAAAGAAATGAAAAAGGCAGTCCCAGCAGCTTACTGATTTTCAACGAGGCCGTGTACATGACTACGAGAAAGTGGCTTTTTTTCCCTCGTATTTCAGATAGACTTAGCAGTGATGTATTCACTGTACATACGCGTTGCAGCAGTTATCATTGGAAGGTCTAAGGGAAGGACTGAAGCAACGAAACACTTGTCTAAAACATGGAAGCTTCTGTTTCGTAGATTATGTTTGGGAATATCTTACTTAAACTTCAGAGTATTATTCTCAGAATCTTTTTAATAGTGAAGCAGCTACAATGAGGCAATCAAACAAGGTAATAGTGCACTATGCATATCTAGCATAGCTTTTGTTGCATGGATTCTAGTTGGGAATACCTTATGCAAACTTCGAAAGGTACAATTATATGAATATTATACAGAGGATCATATTTAATTCTGTTGTAATTCGGAAGCAGAGTTGCATTAATTTTTGCAGCATTTCAAATTAAATTTGGAGAAAAAAAAAAAAAAAAAACCAACTAGATAAAATTAAAAGCTAAAACAATAATTTATTAAGAAATTAAAATAATAATGCAAATAAATTAACAAATAATTCAAGACTTGTTGTTTTTTAGTATACTATTTCTGTGATACTTTAATTTATTAATTTAAGAAATTCGTAAGTAGAATTTTTAAGAAGAAATAAAAAAAATTAACCTCTAATTTCCGAAATTTAGGTTTTTAATTTTAAATGCAACATATTGTTCTACAACATAATTGTACCAACATTTCAGCGTAATTGTTGAAAAGTTTAACGGTTTAAAACTTGTAAACATATCTGTCATATTGCAAAATTCAATATGATGGACCATTTATTTCACGATAATTTATCTGTTAAGGTAAAAAAGTGAGAAAATATATAGCATGTATTTTTAATATGATCTTTTAGTATATAATTTGAGGAATATTGCTTTAAAGGATTGTAACTTTTTAATTTCAGGTAATTAAAAGAAATTAAGATTAATTTAATTTGCCTTAAACACAAGTGAACTGTTTTTCATCGAAATGGGCAGCACAACTGTTGGTTCCAGTGGCTATTTTAACATTCTTAAAGCGTAATTCTCCTAGAAAATGAAATAAAAGCGTATAAAACTAATGCAAAAGTTTGAGAATTTTAGTATGGTATCATATTTACTTCTAAAAGTTGTATTTATAATGTATTCTTTCAACAAATTCCTGTATTTATCGCCTTTACCAGTGCAGAATTCGGGATATTCTTTACATAAAGATCTTATTGCATTAGCCAAGACGTAAACTGAATCTATGACCATTGGCACCAACCCTTCTTGACGAAACGAATTTCCAATGTCTTCATCGCCTGAAAAAAAATTTTCTTTTTAGTTTATTGAAGAATAAACAATCGAGCTCTATATACATATGCAGATTGATTCAAATGTTTTGAAACTATTCAATTAGTCTCTGATTCTCTTATATAGAATCAGATACATTTACTAACCTTATATTGTTATTCGCTTTCAAATCTTAGCCTTACACAATGAATTATGATTTCATGGTTCCTTATAAACAAACCATTCAAAAGCATGAAGTGCACAGTTTTACGTTACCTTTGTTAACATTGTGAGCATAGCGTTTTCCACTTCCTTGTCTGAAGGATCTCTAGTCATGAAATTTGTTGAATCATGTTCTTACATCTGAACATCTCAAGGCATTTTAAGTTCAGAGAGATCACTTTAAGACAATGCTACAGCATGTATCCAGAGTAAAACCACGTTTCTTGGACAAATTCTGTCATAACTCTAGGCAAATTATATTTTGGATTGCCTGGTTTAGCTTCAGGTAATGCCATAATAGTCATTGTTCATTACCTGTTTATAGGCACGCAAAGATGACACCTGCAACCACAAAAGATAGTTTGCCAAATCTTGCTTTGCCAATCACTCGCATGTTACCGCCTTGAAGTGACTTATTGATACATTAAAGCAAAGCTCAATATTTCACTACCGCATGCATATTGTAATAATTGAAGTGCTTTGTTATGACTGTTCCCAACTTTAATACGGAATGGAATTGCATTTTCGCTATATAGTAATAGAGATGACTTCCTAATCCACTACAAGTTACATTAGGGACTTCTGTACTCTGTGACAATTGCTGATTAGGCATGGGTTACGAATTCACATAGGGGAGCGCATAACCAGTACATTGTTGTCACAACTAATATCGGGAATGTGAAACAGAGGCAGTCTAAAAATTTTTAATTATTCCTTGTTTTATTGCCATTTCAATAAGATATTGTTGAGTGCGTACGGGTTCGTAATAAATTGAAGACATATGCCCGATGAAAAGCGAATAAAATTAATTTTTATCACGACAAGTAAAAACAAAATGCTTAAATTTCCTCAGATATTCATACAATATCGCAGTAGTTATTTTTTAAACTACTAAAAACTTTCAACAGAACTCATTCAAAATAGGGAAAGCTAATCCGATTTCACCGCGAATTCTCTACAGTAAACAACAACAGTTTCTAAACAAAACTGAATTGAGAGGTTTTGATTCCGCTTTTATAAGCTTTTTAAAAAGCACAAGAATGTTCTCGATTTTTCTGGATAGCAAAAGAGTACAATTACGAGATATCTATTCATTAAATGCGCGTGCTCCTGTATTTTTAATTTTTTCGGCGTAGCTTTCTCTTCAAATAAGTCTCGTGCTGCATTGCACAGTAATGTAAAACTATTTTAATTAATTCTATTTAAAAATAGCTAATTCAATACAAAAACCGTAACAATATATTTTTGTTACAAGCATATTTTTCAAAACATGCAATTTATCGTAAACACCACTTGAGACATCAGAATGCCTCAGACGATGAGAATCTAGATAAATATATCATTAATTTTTACTCAACTATAAGAAATGAACTGTGACTAAAAATTATTATGTTATCCTTATTAAAGATATCATCCTCAGAAATTTAGTTAGGAAAATTTTTCTTTGCAAGTACCATGGTTGCTTTTACATAAGTCCTTTTTGTATTTCATACAGTTTTCAAAATCCTCATTCTGCTTTCAGTTATGAATGAATTTCCTTCTGAAATGCATTATATTCAAGATTTAATTACTTACCTTTGTAAACATGAAAATTCTTCACATTATAAAATTACTTTAGATGAAAAATAAATTTAAAATGTTTTTTTGCTTTCTTATCTCCTGTTTGATAAAGAACACAGAGACACACACACATAATAATAATAATAATAATAATAATAATAATAATAATAATAATAATAATAATAATAATAATAATAAAAGAGAAAATCTGAAAGGTTTCATATTTTAAATTACTTCCAAAGGGGCGTTTTTCAAACATTTTATGTGTTATTTTTATTTATTAAATATCATATTCTTCGCATTTAAACCATAAAATTCAGTTCAAGAGCAATATCATAAAATAGTTTTAAATTGAGCAAATCTTTAGAATTACACAGTCTTACGCGCTGGAGATAAAGATGTTTTTTTTCTACAATGTTGCCATTGCTCGCTTTGAAATCCTTGAATTTGTTAATCAAAAATTCGTTAAAGTTTTACGAAATATAAAATCAATAATAAAAAAAATTCCAAATTTGGGTTTCCAGATGTCCATATTCGCAGTAGGATTACGTCATTCAAAATTCGATGGCTCTAGGTACTGTTGTTTTATCACAATGCGAGAAACATACATACATCTATGCAGATTCTTCATTATTTAATTTCTTCAAATATAATTCAGAACGTTAATATTTGGTGGCAACAGTTTCAAAGTGAAACGGACATAAACGGACATTAATATTTGGTGCTTCAACGCAAAATCGCAAAACGGAAACAGTAGTCCCTCAGGAACAAAGCTCCTTTGGACTAATAAATAAACTTTAAAAAGAATTGCTGTAAATTTTAGGTAACATTGTATATTCTAATATATATCAAGCCTTCTGTTATTACTATAGCTCACATAAATTCGCCGTAAAAGAAATAAATGCAAACTTTGAAAATAAATGCCCACTAAAAGTACCTTGGTTAGTGACAAAATTCTATTATCTACAGGGATCTGAAAATTGAATCTGTCGACTCATAAAATGTTTCTTAAAATGAAGTGTTCTGATTTCACAGAAATTTAAGACATTCCTAATTATGATGAGCTTACAAGTTAGCTTATATCAAGGCTGAAGATTATCTTTCACAATTCTCATTGATGATTTTTTGTTATTGCTTCTTGTCCTCAACGCCTGATAAATCAATGCCCACTTTTCTTGTTACCAACAATGCACACCTACTTTACTACGTACACCTACTTACTAATTTTTTAAAAACTGCTCGTGCGGTTTTTACAAAACTTGGTAGTTTGGCGTAATTTGAGTCGTAGAATTGAAATATGGGAAAACAAATTGTCATTTCAGAAAAAGTCCGATTTTGTGTCAAAATACCTATATTAGAACAATGCTATATATAAATCTAATATATATCCTAAGTCGCGCTTTCGAGACATTAAAAACGCGAGTTGAATTTCGTCAATCGGCCCAATAGAACAGGAGACATAGAACTGTCTTTTTTTTTTTTCCCGCAGTTTACCTTGTGGTAAATGGCTCAGTGCTGAAAAGAACAGTTAGTTTAAAAAAAGGATGAATGAATCAGAGGTACAATAACATTTTATCCGAAACAGATAGCGTATCAAAATATTTGACAAAGTATTAAAAGGAAATATAGTTGATAAATGTTTTATACTGAACCTGTGCAGAGTTTCTTCCGTTCGCTTAACAGACTCCTGTCATTAAACGTGCAGTCAAACTGAGCCTCCCAGTACTCTTTGAACCATATGTTTCTGGTATTATTACGTGGATTCAGTGACTTGAAGTATTCATTGAAACCTGCTGAAATGACATTCGTTTAAGGTAAGTTATAAATAAAATATGAATAAAAATGTTTCACTTTGCAAACAAATGAGTATGAAATATAAACTCTTTAATCAAATAACATGGATTTTATTTTTGATTACTTACACATTAAGTAACAAGCAGGTATCAAAGGTACCATAGCTCCAGGCTTGTCATTCATAGACAACTGAGGTAAGCGAGCAATATAAAATGTAGTCTTTTATCCATGCAGTTATTTATCATGTGACCAATCATTGACTGCATGATTTCTTTTTCGAGGCTTTTGCCTTGTAGGCTTTAGTCTAGTGGGCTATTAACTTTCCAAAAAATTGCACTCCACAGCATAGAGATGCAGAGTGATACAGAGTTGTGGTTGGACTGATGTCCGGTAAGTCTATTTTTTGGTTAGTTTGCATCATATATATTATACAGGATAATTCACACCGTGTATTCAACATCAGAGTACATCGGTTCATTCTTCTGCTTGCGACAACTTCAAACAAAGTGTTTTGGTAGCGGTGGTATTCTAGCGTGTGGCGGCACATTGAGTTCTTGAACATCCCTTTATGTTTAAAAACGGCAAAGTATGTTAATTCATATGTAGAAGAGTATCATTCTATAAAATGCAGCTCAAATATTCAATGGGTACAAAACATATTAGTGGTACTGATAAAGTAGTTCTTATGGATGACAGTGCAAGTCCTCATCAAGCCATTCTACCTGAAAACATGAGGATATTAAATGCATACAACAACCAGCTTTCTTTTGCTATCTAAACCTGATCGAATATGCATGAGAAATACTATGGAGATGTCTTACAGAGCGTTATTCATTTTCTAGAAATGTTTTGGACCTTTGTACAATATTGGTCTAAGTTATACCAATGAAAAAATCATATCTGAAGAATAAGCTGATAATATTTTGCGGAGTTTACACAAGCATTCATTGTACAGGACGCGCTCCTGTAGTCAATTAATGTGCAACATACTGAAATTTTTCTTCCTTATAAAACATGGAATGTCCATTGCGTTTTAGTTCTAGGTAAGAATCTCTCTTAATTTTTATCACTATGACAGAATCGCTGATGCCTTTTGCGTTTATTTGAGCAGTTTTCATGTCTAGTATAATCTGGTTACAGTTCAACTAACAAATATTTATTAATGCGTCATATTTAACTTTTGAAAATGAATTGTGCAATAAAATGACTATCCAGTGGCTTTATTATCATTATCATCCATTGGCTTTATTATCATTATCTCCTTCGGTTCGTTGATGTTTCTATTCTTCCTGAACACATTTTCATAACCTTCCTTTTCACTAACTGTAAAATGACACTTCCAAACAAAACTTGCAAACAACATTAACTGAATGACCTTGTTTCAGTTTCATTATGCCAGATACTGTGAAATGAACAGTTGATAACTGATTGTTCAAAACTGGAAGTGAGCGATTGATATTAAAAATCGGGAAGAGAAGGAAAATTTTTCTGACATTATCATGTTGCCTAAATTTTTTATATTAATTAGAATTTATATTTAAATAATTAAAATAAATAATTTTTTTTTAAATTGTTAAAATAGCATGTTTGTAGAATCATATAAAATTGGATAAAATATTTGCCAACAAATTATTTAAAAAAAGTAAAGGCATCCTAAAATATTGTTAATATAAATTCAATTTATTTACTAAGCTTCAAAGCATCGTACAAAATTTTGAATTTTATTCATAAAGCCAAATTACTTTACTACTGAATAATTATTCGTGATAATAAATACAGATGCTGATTCAGAAGTCAAACAACAAAAATCAGCGTTAATTCACAAAATTTTCACAGGACTAGTTTCGATGGTTTTACCGAACCATCATCTTCAGCTGCAAAACCGCAAATGAACAAGATAGGAAATAATGTTTAGATAAGATAAGAAAGCCTGGACAAGAATAAGCAAGTGGCGCCATCTGTTGGCGAAACCAGAACTAAAACATAATTTCTCTAAAAGCCGAAGGCAAATTTGGATTGGAATTAGGATCGTTAACTAGAACAGAAAGATTTTTATGAATGTGAAATGCCTCCAGAAAAATCCAGTTCTCCAATGGAAGATGTTTTTTGAATAATTTTGGCAGCAGAAAAATTGAAAGTGTGATTTTCGGACCAACAATGTTGAGCAACAGAAGACTTCTGTGTTTCCTTTTTTCTAACATATGCCTCATGTTCTTTGACGCGAAATTTTAAGGCTCTCTTAGTTTGGCCAATGTAAATTAAACCGCACTGGCAAGGAATCCTATAAATACCCCAGGAATTCATATCCGGAATGGGGTCCTTGAGTATAGAAGTTGGAATTTTATTGATGGGAGAGTAAACAACCCGAAAGTTAAATTTCTGCAAAATATGTGCAACTTTATAGCTAATTGATGGAAAGAAGGGAATGACAACAGAATTTTTTATAATCTCCTAAAATAAGAGTGTGGCTTTTAGTGTGTTGAGATGAGAATTTTTTAACTGCTTGATTAATAATGTTGGGTGAAAAGCCCCTGTCAATAGCTATTGCTTTTAAATAATTTAGTTCTTCATCAAGGGCTAGTTTGGAGGAGCAAACTTGAAGAGCACGGAAAAGATAGGAATAAAATGAAGCTAACTTTTGTTTAGTCGGATGACATGATTTAAAGTGTGGTGGAAGGCAAACCGATGAAGGTTTACGGTAAACTGTTTTTGTTGTTTGACTTCTGAATCAGTATTTATTCGGCGTGTTATTGTGTCTTAAATACAGATGCATTTAAAAAGATATTTTCGGGTGGAAATGCATTTGAAAAAAGCGTATATTTTGCAAAATTAAAAAGAAAATATTTCCAAAAGCAAATAATATATGAGTATAACATGCAAAAAAGCATATTAAAATAGAACCAAAATAGCTCTTATGTCCAAAGAAGAGATTCAAGCCCCATCATTAATATTAAACAAAGAAACTCATTTAAATATTCGCTATGAAATTCACGCCGGAAACTTCTGAAGTTGTTAAAAATATTTCAAAAATAGCAGCATCTTAAGATATCCAGCAATTATTTTTAAAAAGAATCTTGCAATCTCAAATAAAATATCATTTATGGGGATGTCTTCTGTTCTAAATCATGCGTCTGCTATAAAACCATTTTCTCTCGGCTAAGTTGAGAGAAACAAGTAATCTAAAATTAAAGCATTTTTGAAAAAAAAAAATATTTCAAGGAGGAAAACATAAATTAAAGCATAACTTTGTGAAAAATGCGGTATGAAAGCACTTTACAAATTGTTTTTATCCCTGTTTTTGCTTTAAAGAAAGGTTTTTCGTTAGAAAGAAAAAGCGCTTCTCCCAGGAGAGGGTTGCGTAATTATGTTAAGAATAATTGAAGAGCTGAAGAGTTGTGAGTTCTTTTGTTGCGTCCACATTTATATAAAGAAACAGAGATAGTTTCAGATAGTTTTTTCGTAAATTAAACATTGTATAAATTTGTACATTTCTAGCGTACGTTTAATTTAGAATTCTTCTTTGGCATTTATCAGCACAAGATGTGCTTGAATTTGGTAACCCATGATTCTCCTGCAGTTGATTATAGCAATGAAACATATGGATTTTTAAAGCGTATAAAAAACCTTTTAAATATTTTTATTTGCATAAGGAATACAAATAAATTTGTGGCACCTTCTTTGTTGTTTTTTTAATGAAAAACAAAGTACGAAGGATATTAAGTACAAGAGCTGAGTAAAAATTAAGGGACAATGCGGTGATAGATCTGAAAAGACTTTATGATTCTAGGTACAAACTGTTACAATCTCTCAGTATAGTCGTCTGGCATGTCTATCATATTCTACTATTTTATTGGAAGACGTCGACCATTAGCATGTCTTCTTCTGACGTCATGTCCATGCCATGTTCCGCAACGACCATCTAAAACACGTTGTAGTTGATCCCTCATTGTGATTCTTTCATTTTAGGGAAGATATCGTAGTAATAGAGACTCGAACTGGGTGAGTGGAGTGCAGTATCTTCCATCGCTACCATTGCAGGAGATCCGTAATAATGTTTATATGATGATACTATAGGGTTTTCCTTATTTTACATAACAAATTTATTTTAAATTTCATTTCCTGTTCTAAACTTCTCAGCTTCCCCTCACATTCTCTCGCCAGGATGTAAGTTTAAAGTTAAGCGAAGTGCTATTTAAACGTGTGAATATCTCAATTTTTTCAGAGGGTGTTTCGCTAGTCAAGCGCACGTTTCGTTGTTATTTCGAGGTAAGCCTCTTGGCCTTATCGGATTAGTAACACGCCGGTTAGATTTCTGTGAGTCCACCTCTTAGGCGTTAATTTAAGTGCGTCCTTGCACTATTTATTTCAGGTTTGACTTGTATTATATTCTACGTTTCAATTCCTGCCACAAGTGGACGGGGTTTTTGTAACGCACGAAGTCCGTGCCTTTCTGTTAAATTAGTTTGAATTAATAAAGGGTTATTTTTCACCCTTTCTTCTGTGCTGGTTTCTTCACGCCTGTGCGAGAATTTGCCAGGTTCATTGTAGGATCTAATTTAGCTTATGAGGAATAACAGAGATAGGTCTTACAAAACTACGAATTGTCATGGTGAATGATTAGATTTGTTACCTAAGACATCATCTGCGCCTAACATTCAGAACAAACTGATGACATCTATTGGTGATGGAGCCCATCAGTGTCACAGTGCACAATTTCACGATGCTATTGCTATCACGGATCCAGGGAATGCATCCTGAAACTATCTAAATAGCAAGCAATATTTTTTTAAACGGTAGTTTTGACATACCAGAACATTTACCATGAAAGGATTAAATTAGATTGGAAGAACTTTATGAAACTCTTTGCCTTTTCAAGGAAAATTCTAAATATGTATTTATTGCTTATTTTCATTAATTTAACTGACCTTTATATTCATTTTTACTTGTATGAAACTATGTTCTGATTCTTTGGAATTTGTAAAGCATTATAACTCATCTCTCGTGCGTGGGTTTAGGGCACAGCCAGTTAGTAGCTGGATCCTCGGAACATGTGGTTCGATTCTCCGCAAGCGCGCCTTTCATTTTTCAAGCTTCTTGCTCCGCAATTTAACTCTAGAGCTGCAATTTAGAATATTACTTTTAATTATAAGATAACTGAAGACATTATAACTCCTAATGCAGAATTTTTCTGTTGCTGTTATTTCTAATTCTTTTAAACTAACATTAGAGCAAATCCAAAGTTCCCTCTTGTTTAATACTTACTTACACTTATGGCTGTGTGAAGAGTTGGATTTTGAGAATTTAAATTAGCTCAAGAAAGCATGTAGCCCGGAGACTCCCGTACTTTCATGCACTTAGGATTGTCCAGAAACATGTTTTGGTTGTTTGTGATTTTAAGAGTCTTAAAATGATCATTGCTAAATGTTGACAGGACTATTTGAGATTTCGTATATTTAGGAAATTCTTTTGAAAATGCTGAAATTCTTCTCGAGAATCAGGCATCATTAGAGAGAAGCATGATTTTTTTTTTAGTTGGGGTGAAAACTTCCTGAATTATTATTCGTAGCAGATTAGATGACTGTATTAATTCCAGAGCTTTATCAACCTACCGATATTAACACTTTTCTCAGGATCAGTGAGGGAGATAATACGCTGAAAATAAGCATCCATTGCTTTCCACATATTTTCAGCATTTAAAGAATTTTATTATTTGTATTACAACCCCTTATTAATTATTATTCTCCATTTAAAATATTTACTACTGGAATGTTATTTATTAGTCAATGCTTGATTATGGTTTATATCAAATGACGGCAATAGGATCCATATATTTTTCTAAAATATGTTTGGATATTGATGTTAGAGCTGCTGCGACCGCACCCAGCAGCATATATCACGGACGACAAAATTTTTAAACTTTAAGAAGGTACTGATTTAAAAAGCCTCAGAGATTGATGCAAAAACATAGAAACCGTGGATACTGTCCATTGTTAGCGGTAATGCAATCCTCATGGCTACTAATAATGGCAGGGTCTGAATGAAATAGTCTGGGGTTCTAAGCACAGTGTCCGTTTAGAGATGCCAATGCTCACTTTCCTTGCTTTAAGGAAAGAAAATCAAGGCTGTGAGGAGTTATAGCGTGGTTTTGAAACTAAAACCTGGAGCCGTAGCCTCGAGCTTAGACGATAGGCAGATGCAGCTGACAACAGCTTCGGCAGCGGAACTGACGCTGACCTTAGTTGCACTACTGTAGTTGTGGGGAATGCTTCTTGGCTATAGGTAAACTAACATATGTTACATAAGAGAATAAGGGCGGCAAAGAAATTTCGCTAAACCGCGAAATAAATCTCTGAGGAAGTGCCTGTTGCAAATATTCCGTGCCTACTCTGGCTGTGAGCACGATTGCGATTGCACCGCTTTTATTGGAAGATGAATTATTGATATCTACGTTAAGCATTCGTCACTGAAGAAGAAAGAAATTTTGAAGCATTCTCAGTGCTTACTGGAGCCAATGACAGCCACGTCAAGATCGTCGGTGCAACGAGACTGTCATTTACAGGGGTCATATTCAAACACTAACTATGATTTAACACAGAGAATAATAAATAAAAAAATCTATCGCAGGATTTTATCATTACGATAAGGATACACTGTGTAATACTATGTGTTATGTTAAATTCTGCTGTGGCAATAAGGTAGATGAAAGCCTGGTGAATAACTGTTAAGTCAGGTTTACATATAGCGTAGGAGTCTGGATTCATTTTTGAAAACTGAATGGTGTCATCTCCAGTGAAGAAATCCATTCCCAAACGAGAATTAGCTGTTCCAATTGTACTATTCATTCTTTTTTTAATCACTGTTGCAAAATTTACCAATAATTTCGCAAACGTCTTTTTTTCTCTTACCTATACAAATTTGATAAAAAGAGGAGGACATACATACATTTGCACACACACACACTGTGTCCACAGAAACCTTTATCCGGCCTTAATTTTCTCAAGCGTTGTTCTTAGATATACGCTTTAACTTGCAAAAAGGTTTTAAATAACACTCATATTCATATTTTGGTACTCTGAGTTAAGAAAATATCTATTGTTTAACAATAACGATATATAGCTGTGTATACGTTCCCCAGGTCCTTTCACTTATGAAAATTTTATTTTCATAAGAGAAATATGAAACAAATGATTTGACTCTAGTTCGTTAAAAATTGAATGAACTATTTAATTTCAAAATTTAGAATATTTGGCGTCATTTTCAACTTGTTTTGAGAGTGTGGCTAGGTTTATTTTTTCCCGGTTAAATATCATTAAATTAATATTCGTTTGCCATTTAACTAATTGTATTGTAGTTGGTATGCGGAAAGAATTTTCACTGACGTATTTTATAAGTTTTCAAACATTTTAAAGTGACATGAAGTTTTATTACTTTATTAATAATCACCGAAAAAATCCAATAACCTAGAAATATTTTTAACTTTTAATCTATGCAAACAATATTACGATTTAGCTATGCGCCAGTACTAAAATTTGCCAGTGTTTTACATTATGAGTTATGTTAGGAACTTCTGACTCAATGTTCATTAGAATACAATTAAAAGCAGGTAGTTGTTTAACATATGCCTATGAACTGTTGAATTATATGCATGTTATACATGCAAAATGCCTTGCGCGAATCACTATATATCTCGCAGTTTCACAAATGATTTCGTGAATCAAGCTCAGATTCTACTATACAAATTCAAAATTGTTCATATATGCTTTATGTATATCTCTTGAAAAATAAATGTGAAATTCATGTTTTTAAATAAATAATGATTTAAAATATCACAAAAGAAAAGTTTCCCAATGTATAAACATACACTAATTTTGAGTACCAATATATATATATATATATATAATGCTATGATGCTATATCAACATTTGTTTCCGTTTTGAAATAGTAGCTTTTTCGTATGAATGTAGCTACATTTTTAATACCTGAAGGAAGAATTCATGTTGGTTCCTTTAGTACTGGATCTCTTATATGAAAGTGCTCCACCAGTGAGGAATACCGCTGAATACTGGAAAATCGGCCTGTTTTTAAAACATTTTTCTGTATGATCTTGTGAATAAGATCTTCTTTTCAAAAAATTACATTGATGAATATTTTTTACAATAAGCTGCATATAAATGCTCTTCACTTAATCTATTAACATCAGGTTTCTGAATTGATATTTTAATTTTAGCTAGGCAGAGTTGGAAACGTTCGTTCTCCAGTTGGTGTGCGACTCCTAAATTTGATGCCCACTTTAAAGTGTAACAGTCAATTTTGATCGTACGAGATTTGCATGTTTTTGTATTTTATATTTTACATTGAGTATAAAACTTTCCTATATGTAAGTAGAAGAAGTGATGTTATGCATAAAAAGATTATTTTGTAATTTTTACATAATCGATTTATTTTATTTATTTAAAAATATCAAAACATAAATATCTGCGTTATTTGTAGTACCTTTGGAGTTGGAAGCCTATATTTGTGCATGCTTACGACTAATATTTGCACAAATAAAGACCGGATAAGCACATGTGTGGACACAATGTACAGTGTAAAAGAAATAGATGCAGATTTAACAGGTAAAAATTTCATTTTATATTTCCATTTAGACTGAATGGAAGTTTCAGTGAATAAAATAGAAACCATTCGTACCAAGAATAACTCTTTCATATTTTTACAAACATGAAGCATTTTCAAATTGTGATGCGAGAGTTGAATTGGTGAAATAAATAAATAAAACTGTTGAAAAACTCAGTATGACAAATGATAAAAAATCAATCTGAAACTAGCTTACCCTTGACTGGGAATCTTTTTGGTAATATGGTAATAGCACCTGCCGCTTGCATTTCGTTTCCTTCCACAGGATACGTTTTGGCGCCCCAGCCATCACTCCCAATCCACACAAACCTCTCAGAAGGAACTCGATTGCGCCTTACTGCAGTTAAGAGATCTCTAAGGAATATAAACATTTACAAATGTAATAGTAAAATTTACAAATTTAGTGTGTAGAAGATTCATAACTGGAATCTGTTGATTTTAAATGGTTCCGGATCCAAAATGTTTGATGGCGTCTATAAGCACGAATTTAATTTTTCAACAAGCTTCAACAGAAAGCAGCATCTATGCAACTTAGAATACTGAAACTAACTGCAATTTGATTTGGTTGGAAGTAAAATTAAGAATTTTCTTTCGATTAATTTTTATAGTTTAAAAATATGTCAGAAGTAATTCAAATAAAAAATATTCATTTAATGATGAAATATGAAAAGTGAAGAGAAAAACTATAAAAATATTGAATGGAAGCAAGTTTTCTTACGTTCTTCCTTTTTATTAAAAATTGGAAGAATTATAATCACTTTTGTTAGCGATCGTTATTAACATCTAACGATGCGTATGATCTTTCATTTACCTTTTTTCTATATTACTTTTAGTTAACTATTGTTACAAAAGGCCCAGGTGCGGTAAGATAGCTTCCCCGCAAAGCGGGTTAGGGTTGCCAGGAAGTGGCAAGGAAAGGCAGGGTTGCCAGATTTGGTGCGAAATCGTTTATTTAGCAACAAAATTGGTGATATACCACAGACGGAGAGGGAACATTCTAGGACGGATTCTTACCAGTTCTCCAGAGAGTGTTCTCGAAGGCAGGTCAAAACTTTTGTACAAGGTATGACACAAGAAAAAAGAGACTGGTCCAATAAATCATTGTACTTACAGTAATCATTGAATAAGTTCTCCGTGACATTATCTCCTTCAAAGCAGGTAGGTATATTTTCAGTATTCACACATTTCTGCATTCGGTGCTGCCCTTACTGGTAACAGTTCTGGAACGAGGATTTTGGTAGGCCCTTAAAGAGATTCTCCGTTTTTGCCTGAACCGTTTCAGCTGAGGTAAAATGGGTTCCCTTTAATTAAGATTTAACTTTAGGAAAAAAAAAGTAGCATGGAGCTAAATCAGGTAAATAAGGAGGATGCTCCATTACAGTAACGTTTTTGTTGGTCAGAAACTGTTGACAGATAGGTCCCTGTGTGTGGGTATATTGTCCTGGTGCAACAGCCATCCATCACTTCAGAACTGTGGCTTTTTTTCCTAATTTTTTCACGAAGTCTTTTTAGTACTTCAATGAAGTAGTATTGATTAACAGTCTGATCACTGGAAACCCATTCAATCATGATGAACGTGCTGGGCTACCCCATGGGCGCCCATCACGTTCATCATCTTCCACACTGCCTTTTCCCTCTGAAAACCGCTTATGCCATTCAAACACACGCGCACGAGACAAAGTTTCATCTCCATAAGCCTCTGTTAATATTTGAAATGTTTCCTCCGTGGCTGATTTTCTTAAGTTTCACAAGAAATTTGAGGTTGATGCGCTGTTCGGTTTTTACATTAGACATTTTTCAGGCAGAATGTAGTTGCACGTATTCACTCAATGACGCAGTACTCCACACTGGCGCTGTCGGTTGAGTCGAAACTGGCCGCATGGATAGAGGAGGATATGTGGCCATGACGTCACTACAATAGTTGTTGCCAATTCCACTCTGTTTTCAAGATACACACTTAGTCTCGTTTTTTTGTGTGTCACACCTCGTATGCACTGCTTGTACACCGAATGTATCTAGAGTACCTTGAGTAGTAAGAGTATCTAGAGTATCGTAGCATGTTAAGTTCAATAGTAGTGTCTTGAGTTCCGAAATCGAGAGCGACCGACCAAGTCGGAAGCTTTACTTTAGTGCTTGCCGTGAAACCGTCTTCACCGTTATAGCCTGATAGCCTGAAGGATATATTGCTGATTGTTTCAGCGTGTTTATGGCAGTTTTTCGATGGATGTAAACGAGTCTTTGGAACGTGTGTAATACTGACGAATAAATTGCTTTTTGAATCTTCATCAAGTGTTGTCATCTAGCAGTCTGAATCCACGAAACTCATAGATCTCAACACTCTGTAATGCTGTGATAAAAAGGTTAGATACAAGAGAGAACCTTATAAAAAGGTAAGCTAAAAGAGAGTCAAGAGACTCTCTGGAGTACCTTGAAATTATCTTCAATATTCCAAAAATACAATCAGGGTAACAAAACTAATTTAAGAACGCATTTTTTTGGGGAGGGGGTCTTAATATTTTGTAACAAGTTTCATATCATGAGTGTAATAAATAAAACCTATTCATAAACTTTATGGTAAGCCGATGAAAAATTTCTAGCACTCAGCATCTTGTAAGCGCAATCGTCTGCTTCCAAAAGAAAATCTAATGATAAGATGGAATAATATTAGTAATATGTAACACACAGACCTCTATATATAATTAATTTTTTGTTTTGTTCAAATGATTATATATTTTAATAATATTTTGATAAATTTTAACCATTTTATTCTGAAAACTGGAATGTAGAAACAAACTCGGGAGCTTTCAAAACTGAAACATTTCTTGAGCTGAATTTTAATTTTATTCAGTAATAAAGATTTCGTTTTATATGTTGAGAATAAAAAGCATTGCTATTTAAGAAGGAAAGAGAATTATATTTTTTTTACATTGCTGTAACTTTGCTGTTTGTTTCTCAAATTTTTTGACTAAATGATATAATGATATGTAAGAGGAATAGGTAGCAGGAGTACGTTTCAAGGTTCTTAACTGTAATCTGAAATTTCTAGATTACGAGGATTTTGTTTTAAAATACGGTATAAACTTTTGTGAACATCCTGTTCACAAAAGTTTATACCGTATTTTTGCAAGTAGACATAATGCCAGTTACAAAAATGTTAAATGACGCAAATATTTGTCTTGAAATTCTTAAAAAAATTTTCATCAAAATTACGAAATCTAATTTTTTTTTACGTTCTCCCGGTCTCTATACCTATATTTAGGAAAATTCGATACTCGTTGTACAAAATAAATTACAAAATTTGTGATTTCCGTAAGACGAAAATTAACTCAGATATTTATTTTAAAATCTGGATTCTTATTCAGGGGATCATATTCAGACTGAAAGCGGAATAATGTTTGCAAATGTATGTAGTTTGTTTTGTTTAAAAAAGAGTCTAGAGTAAAATTTCTGATAATATATGAAGTGGCAAGTATTTCTATGATATTGGTGGAAAACGTATTGATCAATAATTTGAATATTTTCAGAAAGGAAATGATATTCACAGAATCTAATAGAATTCACATGTTAGAAAATACTGGAAAGGCTTCAGTTTTGGCATATAGCCAACTCGTACATTATTTAGATTTTTAAAAATGAAAAATATTTCTAATTTAATGAATTTTTCTACATTTATACGATTAGGATTTTAAAATAATAAAATTTCATGAGAATACTTGTAACGCATTTTTAGAGTTTGAAAAGTTATAAATTACATATGTAAAACTCTTTCAGCATACAAATTTTAACGAATTATAAATCAAAGAATGTTATGTAATAGCAAATCACAAAAGAATTCAATAGCATTTAGGGGGGAAATGAGCTTTGAATATATCTTATTTATTGAGGAAAGTTAAAATAACTCAAAAAATAAACTTAGTTAAAATAAGTTAAACAACATAAAGTTGAAAATAACATCAAATACCCAAAATTTTATAATTAAATATTTTTATCTTTTATAGGGGAGTTAAAACCTTTCTTTTTTATTTCATACATATAGGTATAAATTTATCTTGACTATAAATGGGGAACATATAAAAAGTTGGATTTTGTAATCTCTGTAAAGTGATTTTTTTTAAATTTAAAAATGCCAAAATATGATTATTTGCGTTATCTGAAACATTTGTATAATTGTAAGTATATATTATCTGCGGTTGTGAAGATAAAGGTAGTGTAATGAATTTTGTGCACATAGTGTACGTAATAAAAGCAAAACCTTTTTTCTTTTTTTAGAGGGTTAATGATAATTATGCGACTTAAATTATTTTTGATTAGTAAACCAGATTTCTGTTCCAAAATATAAGGAAGTCAAAAATTTCAAATTTACTTTCCATTATATTTTAAATTAGAGTGCGAATATGCCAATGAACACAGGATCGGCAGGTGTAGAGAAGATTGTTTGAATGAGAGAAATTTTCAAGATGAGAGAAATGGATAATCGAAGCAGAGTTCCAGAAAATTTCCAATAAATATTGGAAAGAAGAAATCCGAAGATTCAAAAAACCTTATCAGGAATCTTTTTTGTTTATCCTAATATTTTGATTCACAATTAAAAAAGCGATTTTTTTTTCTTCAGTAATGATACAAAAGAAATACCTGTTTAAATATTTTTTCCCATACTTTATGCATTACAAAACTAATAGAGAGGAAGAGTAATCTTCCTACTTGAAAATTAATAATAGCTACAATTTTATATTTGGTAAAAAAAATAATATGCTCAGAAAGTTATTTAAGCATTTTAATTGCTGTTGGCGTTAAATAAACAAGTAATTTCACCAAACGAAAAAAAAAGTTCTTTATTTTGTGCTGATAACGGTGGTATTTCGAAGCAATCAATTCGTATTTATATCTGAGCAATGTGAATGAAGTTTTTCAGTTGCCAACTCTAAATTAAAAATATTATCACAAAGAATTTTGTGAAAATAATTTCCAACCGGATTTATCTTGAAGTTTGCAATTTGTTTCAATTTTAGGAACATTTATGCAGAGAAATGTTGAAAAAAATAAAATTTCATTTTTGGATTTGGTTTGCATAGATAACTGAAAATAACATTTAAAACAGACATTGAGAAATAAATTATTACTTAGTTTTATCTTCATTCAAAAATACTACTACGACTCTCGCTTTTTCGTACTCTTCAAGATGGTGGATGGCTGAGTCATAGTCTTCTGAAGTCGGATTCCTCGGAAGAATCTGAACTGTAGCAAAACAGATTTCTAAGAGAAAAAAAGCATATTTTTTTAAATGGATTGTGGGAAATATAAAGATAGCCATATTTAAACAATAAGAATTTGATTTATAAACATTGCTTATAATATTATGGATAAAAATAGTACGTGGGAGGTACTTTAAGATTAAAATTCTGGATGATTAACGACATTAATAACGGAAGGCAATTTTATGAATTGAATTTTACTATTATATACCTGAAGCTTAAAGGTACTTGAGATAGGGAAAGAATTAAAGTAAACTTTTTGGGGAAAAACCTTTAAAAAAGAAAGGAAGATTTGCGTAAGGGACTGTGATATCCAATATGATAGCAAAACATTTTGTACAACTATCTGGGGAAAATTTAAATATATTTATTTTTTCAATATTTAATTCTGCGTACCTACGTTTAAGGATCTCAAAATCTTCAATGCTGCTTAGAGACGAGAGAACATATATTGCAATTCTCTCAAAATATGTAATGTATTTTTCTAAAACCAGTAGGAATACAAAAATAAGTTCTTTTTTAGTTTTAAATTTCATATTGTTGAAGCTAATGTTGACTGACGACTACCTGTGTTCTTTTACTATCGACTTGGATTTTGAAAGAATATGAACAACAACGTCTGAGAATACATTTGTATTGTTTTAATTATAAAATAATTTATTTCAGTTATGGGATAATACTTCACATATTACATTAATTGTTATACAAATTTATGTTAAATTTATAATAAAAAATTTTAAAGTTTATTTCATTTTTATGAATATAATTTAATAACATGCATAAAGTTATATTTGTTATTTCTCTTCTGTTGTTTACTTCTCGGATTTTTCCTTGACAACTCTTGTTTCCCTAACAGTTATTTAGTAACTTTATTTTTCGTCTGTAATGAACCAATTATCTTGTCTTTAACCGCAAAGATTTTTTTCTATATCATGCATTGATTTGCGTTTTCATTTCAACTGACGTACCTTTTAGAAGGTAAAGAAATTTTTTGGTCATAAAATTCATGGCTGGGGTATCTATTTTTGGTAAGAGTAAACGTTTTACAGCAAATATTTAACATAGATTTTAAATATTCTCAGGTATTATAACTGTGCTTTTTTTTAAAAAATTACATGATGAGTAATAAAACAATAACTTAATTACAAATGCATTTTATGAGTTAACTTATCAGGTATGAAATATCTAACAATGTGTATTTAGTGTTTTTTTTAACCGAACAGCCAAACTCTTTCAAATTTATGTATATCGTCAGAAAGGGCCAAACAATAAGCCAAATATTATTGAAAGCTTTGCCCAGGCTACAGCACAGGAAGCAACCGATATTACACCTGCTGTAAGCAGGCAAACGCAAAGTCTTGCGCAAAATTTGAACTTACACCATGCAGTTGCACTGTGGAGCGCCTTAAATTAGCAATCAATTTTCGCAGACTGGTAGAACGTCCATAGCAACATACTGAAAAATATTTCAGTTAATCATCAGCCAACATAAACAATCCCATGAATATTGAGTATAAATCCTATACTATATCATATCTACTTAAGCCAAAGAAGTAAGTAGTTGGACACCAATAATTTTTTTTCTAGTTCTATTCTTTTAGGAAATAAACGTTCATGCGTAATTTTATGTAGTTCTTCCATGTGTAAGAACGCTCACATGGAGCATATTTACTTTGCAAGTAATGTAAATATATTTATCCAAGAAAATATATCACAACTGAGAGTAAAACAGGAATAAATCTACTTAATATGGCCTCAACTAATTATGAAATATTGCGTTTCAAATAACAAATGAATGAGACTTCAGAGACTGATGCTTATCGTGCATTGCTTTTTCCCTTCGTTTCTTTGCGTTGCTTAAAAACGGAAATTATGTAAATAGTTTGGTCATAATAAATATGATTAAAACATTTAAGTATTTATGAAATTCTGCGTGGTTTCTACATGCACTGTTTCCCCTAATATTGTTCTGTAATCAAAACTCTCTTAAGAACGTAATAGTGATTCATAGCATAACTTAAAAATTAATTGCGTAGGACGACTAGATAATTAAATTAGGGTTAGAAAGTGCAATCATTTGTAATTTGAAATCCACGCTTGCAATTTGTAGTACGGTATGGTTTATCATATTTAGTATAAAATTATAATCGTTAATTCCCAAAACAAGAAACCGCAATGTTACTTAATACTTAGATTATAGTAAAAGGAGTCTTAATTTTTGTACGTTCCAGTGAATTTTAACATAAGAGAATTTTTTTGGATTATTTGATTACAACAAAGTATATTAAGGTTGTCTGTATGAAAGTCAGATTTTTTTAAGAAACTATTTCGCATTTATTTATAAGTGAGGATATAAGAAAAGCACACGTGCAGCCAGTTCGTTCATATGGAACTACCAGGACTAAATGATTTTATTCACTGATTGGACTTGGCTCATTGGATTTAGTGAAATCTGAAGTATTCTTTTGCTATTCATGCACGTTCATAACAAATAATTTGATTTGAAGAATATTAGCATGTTAATAATACATTAAAGTAAGCAAAATTTGGTATCTAATGTTACAGATTTCTTAAAACAGGTGAAACGAATTCATATATCTAATACCTGAAAGGAAATTCTTAATTATCATCAGAAATGGGCCTGTGTTATGGGCCTATTGTATGTGAAACGGGCCATATACTTTTGATGCTCTGCCCTATAAATACCTGTGAAAACTATGTACACGTTTCGAAGTTGCTGCTATGTATGGTACTGTAACAGCTTTAAATAATATTAAAATCTTGTAGATTAAATAATTTAAATAGATGAACATTAAGGTATTTGTGAATGGCAATATTTGAAACCAGACTCGAGTGCCTCGTGCGACTCTCGCACGAAGAATGTAATTTATTTTTTTTAAATGATAGAATATGTTTTCTCTTCTTGTTTGTATGTCGCCATTTTTTTGAGTGTTAAATAAAAGTTATTGCTGTGTTCCATCATTGGAGTTGCTTCATTTCGCCAAAGAAGTATTACAGTACCATTCCTATGCTTTTATTTGTAAATGTTGAGTTACTGGTCGTATTGTCTAAAGCCAAGAAAATTTTCACTGTAATCGTAACGGTGAGAGCTATATTGTTTCAAATCACCACAATCTCGAGCGCATACATTGAAATAACAACGTCTGGAATTTTATTTCGATTGGTTGAGCGAATAGCCGCTAAAAGTTCCTACATCGAGGAATTTTTTTATGACCATTCGGTACTAAATTTTGCTCAAGAGTAACTAACTACACATCAAATCTCCAACGAGGATCATTTGATTTTCTCCAGCATAATTTCCTAAAATAATGCTTTATGTTGCAAATAAAAAATAGGAAAACGCATTTAAAAAATACATTATTCTGAAAGATCAGTTTGCTGCTGTAATTAATGTTAAATTGTGGAAGACAATGAAAATTCTTGCTATGTACAGCGTTTATTAAAAAAAAAAAAAAAAAAAAAAAAAAAAAAAAAAAAAAAAAAAAACTAACACCTCTATCAGGTGTTTTAAGAAAACAATTACCAGTAAGACATTCTGTTTGAGCATATAAATTGCTTTTGAGTAATATGCGTTTTTAGCTCAGTATTTCTGAAATAATGATTAAAATTTACTTCAAAAACTATATTAATCCCAAAGATAGATCTAAAAGCTTATGATATCAAACCTATGACATTCTAAATAGCTTAAAAATTCATTAAACTATCTTAGGTACAGCAGTATGAATACACAGCAGTGGAAAACATGAAAGCATGAAAAGAACAAAAAAGTATGTTGTTTCTCAATTTCTTAATTCTCGTATGGTTCTCTGATAAATGTTTATGAGACAAACACAAAATTTCCTAACGAAATTGAAATTTAATTGATTAATCATTAAATTATTCTTTTTAGTCCAAGGGGGCTTTGTCCCTGAAGCACTATTGTTTTCGTTTTGCGATCTTGCGTTGGTTCACTATAAATGTCCGTTTCACTTTGCCACCAAATGTTAGAGTCCTGTATTATATTTGAAGAAATTAAATAATGAAAAATCTGCATAAATGTATGTATATTTCTCGCATTGTAATAAGACAACGGTACATAGAGCCATCGAATTTTGAACAACGTAATCCTCCTACGAATATGGGCATGAAGACCAAATTTGAAATTTCTTTTATTATAGATTTCATATTTTGTAAAATTTTACAGAATTTTTGATTAACAAACTCAAGGATTTCAAAGCAAGCAATGGCAATATTGCACAGAAAAAATATTTTTATCTCCAACGCTTGAGACTGTGCATCGGAAATTCTAAAGATATGCTCAATTTAAAATTATTTTGCGACATTGCTATTGAACTGTATTTTATGGTTTAGGTGCAAAGAACATGATATTTAATAAATAAAGGTAACACACAAAACGTTAAAAAAACGCCCCTTTGAACGCAATTTAAAATCTAAAAACCTTTCAGATTTTTTTATTTTTAATCTTAATACTTCCTTGTTCAGGCATTATTTTCAAATACATCATTTGAAAAGAATAATCAGCATATCTTTTTATGAGGATAACATGGGAAAAGCTTTATTAAAGAATGCAATTTAAAATAATCGGTACTAACATATTACCTTCGAATGTAGTATTCCGAATAAGACCTTGTAAACTCTGGATAGCGGTCTCTCCGTAATCTCCTTTCGAAGCCACGGCGGAGATAAAAGTCCACTGAAATGTAAACAGGATGTCTAGAATGACTCGAACCTGAAAACGATCAGATGGTACCACTCGGAAGAAAAAAGGATATTTATGTAGATTGTCTAGTTCTTCGCTTGTTGATGCATAACTGACTTGAGGTATCTATTTAAAGAAATTGCTTATGTTAATCTCTTTTGAATACATTAACGATTCAGCAAGCAAATGAGTTTGATCGCTATAATTATTTGTTATTATTTCACGAATGCAAACATTTAATCAGGGATATAAGAGTTATATTTACTTAATACGCAGTAGAAGTTTAATTTGAGTACCGGAAGAAAGTCAGTGGAAGGAATTTGTTTCAAAAAACTTCATAAATTTGGCTACCTTGTAGAGGTCCTTAGGTCATATCAATGTAGGAATGTGAAAAATGTGAAATGCCCTTCCCGGGAGCATATTATAAGCATTCTGTACCGCGCCACGGGAATAAGGGAAAGTCCCTCTTCGTGATTGGATATGGCTTCTCATGACATCATTTCCTCTACGCTTAGAAATACCTTGCTTGGGGTCGAGGGTACACTTCCATACCGTTTGCTTACATTTTGATAGTAGTAACGAAAAGATTATTATGCGCGTTTTATTTTTGTGGCTATGATATTACACTTCTTACAACACTGTAGTGTAGTGAATTTAGTACAAAATAAATGTGATTTTTTCCTCCTAGAGATAAAAAGCGTTAATTCTTCTTGTGCTAACTCCCTAAAGGTGTATTAAATGCAGAGATTTTTAATAAATGTATTCATAATTTAAAACCCTTCATATTAAAAGTGTTGTGATTATTAATTAACTATTTCATGTTTATTGTATATCCATTCTCTGCTGATGAAATCTGCGAAAGCATGAGACAAGTCAGTTTTCGGAAATAGCAAAAAAGACGTTGGGAGCTAACATTACACAAGTACACAATAAATTCACAATATTTATAAGCAGTCTGAAAAATAAAAATTTATTTTTGAAGTTAGACTAATATAGATTTGGAACAGCGAAATAGAGATACGTATTTTAAATTGAATAATATTACTTTATGAACATTGACCAGTTTTTAATATGTAACATTTGTCGTAACTTTGCATATAAATAGTGTTTGTCAGAAAAAGAAGTTTCATTTCTTATACACGTGTATTAAATTCAACGAAAGTCTATTAAATTCAACTAAAGTCCTGAATGTACTTTTTTTTTTAAGGCAACAGATATATAAGAATGACATGGGCATTAAAATGAAAATAACATAATACTTGCAAAGGAAATATTTTCTGCAATGTGAAAGAAACAGAATGCAACAAAATTGAAACAATAATAATACACTTGCTAGTACACAACAGTGCCTTTAAAGTTGGATCGAGATCATCGTGGTTTGGTTTTTGCACTAAATTAATTTAGCTATTTTTATAATCTAAACGCTGAGGATTACTTCTGATATTACAGCATCATTGAAAGATTCTTATAATTTTATTATTCCATGAAACAGGAAGCCATCTGCAGAACGCTGCAGCTAAATGTTTTTTGTTTCAAAGAAAACAAACGATAACTTTCACGCTTCCGTGTCACTCATGCGCGTTATTCAACAAAAACAAAACTGTAAGAACCCCGCCTAAACTTCATCACGCCAAGAGTAAATGATGTCATCTGAAAGTATGCCCAATCACAAGTACGGATTTTTCCCTATGCGCGTGGCGCGGTACGCAATGCTTATATGCTTCCCGGAATTTTGAACTCCGAACTTCCCGAATACGAGTCGAGCATGCTTCAAGTTATATCACGAAGGAATGCGAAAAGGAGGAAAAAATACCTTATATACTCCTCTTTCAAAGGGAGACTGGGTATTAGGAGACCCAGTCGCCAAATCCTGGTAGTGGCGTATTATCGTCTACCACCTTTTAGTTTGGGGGACACTTGTAGAGTCTTGTATAATTTTTTCGATGTCAGGAAATTGAACAACTCTGCAATGCCCTCGCTGGGATTCAAATTACGGACCTCTCGAATGCGCATCAAAGGTGCTTCCAGTTACACCACAAGGGCATGCGGAAGGGTGGAAGGAAATACCTTATAATCTTAATAAGATCTTTTAACTATCTTATATCTCTATCTGGATTGGATTTCTGAGAGTACTCTCTGTTTGAAATGTCCGTTGTTCGGTGAAAAGGATGTGAAAAAGGTCTAAGACTTCCCACCTGTAATAATGGTGTTTCCATCTTCGAAGATAAGACAGCAGATGAACGACGCAGACCATTTGCAAGCTTCCAAGATAGAAATTTTCTAGATTACTCAGTCTGAAGATGGCCGGTAAATAGTTGAAAGAGTTGTATAGTCAAATTTATAGCTGTTTTGCAGAAAAATTTTCTTTTCTATTTTATTTAATTCTCATTAAAAAGCTAGTGCGGTATTTAACTATTTAAATACGATATATACTTTATTCAAAATTAAAGGAGGATATTAAGTTTAAATAAGTTAGCAATTAATAAATCCTCGAAACCTATAATTCACGTGGCCCTAAAGAAAGCAGGACAGTAATAAAAGCCGTTTTAAAAACGCCAAGTTTTATCTGATGTTTTTAAAAACAAGTAGGGAAAAATATATTGCGTCAGTCCATAAATTCGTTCGCATTTTTTGGTAAAATTTTAAATAATATAAAAAAACACAATTTAGCATTTTAATCAATTATATATTTTCCTCCATTATCTACAATGTCTCGCCATCTTACAGGCAGCTTTTTTATGCCATTGCTGTAGAAAGACTCTGGTTTTGATGCAAAAACTTGAAATATCATTGTGTACATCCTGTTCATAATTTAATTTTTTTCCCAGCAAAAAATTTTGTAAGGCACGAAATAAGTGAAAGTCACTTGGCGCAATATCTGGAACTTAAGCAGGATGTGGCAAAAACTCCCAATTAAATTCACTAATTTTTTGCAGCGTTGTTCGAGCCGTATGTGGTCTAGCGTTATTATGATGAAACAACACTTTCTTCATATTCACCAATCGTGGGCGTTTTTGATCAATTCTGAGTTTAGACGGCAAAGTTGTTCACTATAAACTTCTGAATTAATCGTTTAATTTGGTTCTAACAGTTCAAAACGTCCTGAACGGGGTTCATCATCAGTGCTGCATTTTCCAACTTTGGAGAATGCATCCATTTAATGATTTAATGATGGTTTAAAAAATGAACATTTTTCCATTTCTGGGCAGTTCTTACGCTAATAGTGTGTTCACTATGTACACTATTAATTTTTATCGCTGCAAACTTGGCAGATTAACCACACGAAAATAATAAATGTAGCACAGCACGTTTGCACTGATTATCTATATTCATCTTGTATAGGTACTAAAATGCGTTTGATACTTACGAAAGTTGGTGAGGAACTGAATAATATGTTAGTCAAACGATGACAAGTTTCAACTTGTTCAAAATTGTATTGTTTTAGTAAATGCGTCATAGTGAATTCCACGCATATTCTTAATGCGCACGAACTTATGGACTAACCCTTGATATTCTTTAAGCAATGTGAAAAAAAATTTGATACGTTTGAAGTTCATTATTAATACTCATAGTTTTTAGTCAACAATGGCTAATAATGATAGAAAGAACTCAAAGCATTGTTGTTTATATTATAAACATTTTAGACATCCTTTTATTTGCTATTCAGTGTGACCAAAAAAAAAAAAATAATAATTTTGGGTTGGATTAAATTTCTAATTGAAAGAGATGTAAAATATAAATTAAGCAACAAAGCAAATTTTGATTGGTGTAGATTTTGAGTAAAGCTCTATCAGTTTTGAGGGATATCTGCTTTAAGAGCCTCTTCTTCAGAAGCAAAACGTTTGTTACTACAGGAAGAGAGACCAGTGTTAGATCGCCATCGAAAACAGACAGAATTTTAGACAAAATCTAAATCAACCTTAGGCTGCTTTTCCCCTAATTATAAACTGGATTAAATTTATTAATTTGACAAAACACGTAAAGTCAGCCTTTTAAAAATGTGATTTTGGCGATAATGAAAAGTTCTGTAATGTCAGAAACGTGATATATTTTCAATCAAGCTATATTCATTTTTAATTTCGCTACGTTTTCATTACAGTTTGCTGAGCTTGGCCATATGTCACGTTTGGTTTTACTTAAAATTTCATCAGTTGTTGTGTAATTTTCTTTCACTCACTTTTTAAAGTATCAATCTCTACAAGATGATGAAATTTAGATAAATAACAATTGCTTATCTGCAGTGAAAAATATGCTATTTTAAGTTTTAATTGCCTTTCTGCTCTATTAAAAGGCAAAATTCGCCTGTTTGGAGTTTGCCTTCAACTAAATGGTTCTAAGAATCTAACAGCATTCTTGTTTACCTGAGGAACACCATGGGCATATCAGTACTTGAATATGCAAATATTCAAAGCATTTGATCTTACAAGTAAATGATTTCACAGTTTTTCAAATGACTGAAATATTTTTGAAAAACGTTTTCCAAGTCATTTTATTTATGACTGCTTATTTTCCGCTTTACGTACGAATATTTCGCCATACCACTTAAAAACGTTAAGTAGAGCAAGCTAGCTTCTCTAATATCCATTGAAGTGACTTTGAAACCATTTTAGTGATTCCGAAAGCAACAGATGGAGACAAACAACTCACATTAAAATTTTAAATTAACCACTGTCTTATTTTCTGAGGCATACTGGTCATAAAGCAGGATAAAGAATTTCACATGAGTGTTGCAAACACATACCCAGTCTGCTAACCCTTGTAAACGAAAAAAACTATAGCTACGTTCAAACAATTTTGTAAAAGAAAATGCTTTTTAACCATTTATGCACCATTACCGTCACTTCGAAAAAAAAAAATTGACTCTTATAAAAGTTGTTTGCTGCTCATTCATTGATTGCTGTCTTACCACCTTCGCAATCATTCACGAGAGATCATCTAAATCTTCATTCTTTTGAATTTTACGTCGACTAACTGAGGATAGTTCCCATATCAGCATTCATTTGCTTTTCGTTCCTAAACTTCTATGTCCATTCGGAATATTTTAAACTATATGGCTGTGCGAGGTCCCCTAAACCGAGTAATGAGGTGACATTCTCAAGCGCGAAAGGCGGGATTCCAGATCTTCA